AAAAATGTCAATAATCAAAGTTTGGCAAGGGAGGACCAGAAGTATGGATTTTTAAACACTATCCATTAAAACAATTTGGCTGGATTATATGGTTTGAAGGGTGGTTTTTAGGATAGGGGATTAAAAAGCAATACAATTATTTATTTTTCGAGATGGAGTCTCACTCTGTCTTACCTAGGCTGGAGTGCAGTGGTGTGATCTGGGCTCATTGCAGCCTCCACCTCCCGGGTTCAAGTGGTTTTCCTGTCTCAGCCTCTCTGGTAGCTGGGATTACAGGTGTGTGCCACCACACCCAGCTAATTTTGTATTTTTTGTAGAGATGGGGTTCCACCATTGGACCCGCCTGGTCCAATGTTGCCCAGACTGGAGTGCAGTAGTACAACCTTGGCTCACTGCCACCTCTGCCTCCCTGCCATCTCTGCTAATCCCAGGCTCAAGCAATTCTCCTGCCTTGGCCTCCCGAGTAGCTGGAATTACAGGTGTGTGCCACTACCACCCAGCTAATTTTCATATTTTTAGTAGAGACAGGGTTTTACCATGTTGGCCAGGCTGGTCTTGAACTCCTGACCTCAACTGATCCACCCACCTCAGCCTCCCAACATGCTGGAATTACAGGCATGAGCCACTGTGCCCAGCCCCAGTACATTTTATTTTTGCCTTTAGTACTGTAACATATTTGGATCCACAAAGAACCTGTTATGATGTTGACTTTAAAAAACATTTTATCATAGCATGGTAATTGTGTTAGTATGTTGTATCCAAGCAGCCAATCAGATATTTACACTCCAGAGATGGTCAGCTAGGAATTCAATCAGAAAGCCCACACTTTGCAAGTGACTACTAGAAGCCCTTGTTATCCACAGCTCAATCAATAGACTTTGCCAATTAGCTTAAAAAATGTCAAATGTGTTTCCATTGGTGACATGAGCAACTTGCTAGTAATGTTAATGATGCAGACACAAGCGCTTGTGAACTCAGTACATGGATTGCCTAAAAACTAGTCACTGTCTATTCTTACAAGAGGTGTAAGAATGTAACCACCCCTGTAACCTGTACTTGTATGGATAGTACCCAGAGCTTGATCCTGTATCCAGCCATTATTAGTACAAAGGACTCTGCCTGATCCTGATCAGAAGGGTGACAGAATTTTGCCCCCAGTGCCTGACAGACATCTCCAGTGGTCCTTTCATGAAAGGGTGGTCAGATTACCAAAAGGGACTGAAAGCTGGGACACTCCATTAAGCTTATAGAATGGATTGTATAAACTGTTGTGCCATTGCTTGCTGATAAGCGTTTAATAAATGATTCTGTGTGATGCAAATTAAGTCTGAGCTTTGCTTTCATACTAAGTGGGTGTTGGATACCATCATCTACCACAGAATCTAAGTGGTAAATGACAAAATTGTTTGTCACTGAAAAGTTAAGTAAGTAAAGACTTCTGGTACTTTTGAGTTAGTCCCAAATAACATCACTCAATCATCACCTATTTATCAAAGCAAGTTTATTTGATTACTTATTCCAGGCAAATAATGAGGTGCATGTGTACAACTAAGAAATAAGACAATCCAAATAAAAGGCAGGGTAAATTAATATGAACTACACAAACAGCTAGCTAGAATGGAACAGCAGCTGCATTCATTTTACAAAGCACTGTGGGGTGATATAGCACCATTAATCTCAAAGGTATCCTAAGTACTTTCTAGGATAAGTACAGGGGTCTTTTTGTTCAAATGTAGCAATAGCTTAAAAACTATAGCAAGCTTGATGATCATCTTATATTTAACTAATTCAAATATAAAAGTATATCCGAAAACTTGTTTCAGAAAAAAATAGAGGCTGGGCATGGTGGCTCAAGCCTGTAATCCCAGCATTTTGGGAGGTCAAGGCGGGTGTATCACTTGAGGTCAGGAGTTTGATACCAGCCTGGCCAACGTGGTGAAATCCCATCTCTACAAAAATACAAAAATTAGCTGGGAGTGGTGGCAGGCGCCTGTAGTCCCAGCTACTTGGGAGGCTGAGGTAGGAGAATCGCCTGCACCTAGGAAGTGGAGGTTGCAATGAGCCAAGATCGTGCCACTGCACTCCAGCCTGGATGACAGAGCAACATCTCATTAAAAAAAATAGTAATAATAGAGAATTTGGGAATACAATTAAACAAAAATTACCATTATTGAGACTGGCTTTCTTCCATCATCTGTACTATTTGCTATTTAAATTCTAAGTTTTGGATGATTTAATAGGTTATGTAAACACATGTACAGTTATAATTCATACAAAGTTACTATTATTTTTTTAACTAAAGCTTTTGTATTTGTTGGTCTGTTTAGTTTGTTCTGGCCTGAACTACAAACATGGAGGAGCAAGAGAGGTTTCATGCTACAGAACTCAACATTTTGGGATCTTTAATAATTTATTCTATTTTCTACCACTTCTAATTATCATTCTAAACTAATGTACTCTGATAACATTGGGTTGAAATTAAGTTTGATCCTGTTAATGAATCTAAGTTATCATGAGGATATCTGTAAATCTGAGATTAAGCATTCTTCTAAACACAGAGGACTTTACGGTTTCATCTTAAGTTATAAACTTCGAAATTTGGAATTCCAGAGTCCCTCATCAGCCCATTTTACTAGTTAGAAGACACAGCACATTTTCAGTAATGTATCACAGCAAAATCAAAGGGAGGAAATTATATAATATTCCAGGATTATTCAATCCTGGTGTCTCCCAACCCCAACTTCCACACTTCTTTTTGGGTAATGAACCACTTCAAGAAGCTGATCTAAACTATACACCTCTCCCCCAGAAAGATGCATGTAAACTAGAACTTGTAATACACAATTACAAAGAATTACCTGAGGGTTGTTCATGATTCTCAAGTTAGGAATTCCTATTTCAAAGGTGTGGAACATAGTGGAAAATAAGTTTAGCCCATTTTGATATTGCCCATCTTTACTTACTTGCTACTAAAGTATAATAATGCTACTAAATTGCTGCTTTAAAACAAAGCACTCATTTTAAAAACCAACACAGACTTTTAAAATTCATTCTCCTGGCTGGAGCAGAGGCTTATGCCTGTAATTCCAGCACTCTGGGAGGCCAAGGCAGACAGATGACCTGAGGTTAGGAGTTCGAGATCACCCTGGCCAACATGGTGAAATCCTGTCTCTACTGAAAATACAAAAATTAGCCGGGCATGATGGCACAGGCATGTTAATTCCAGCTACTCCGGAGGCTGAAGCAGGAGAATCATTTGAACCCGGGAGGCAAAGGCTGCAATGAGGTGAGATCATGCCACTGCACTCCAGCCAGGGTGACAGAGTGAGCTTCTGTTTCAGAAAAAAAAAAAAAAACCATTCTCCTGCCCCAGTTTTACAAAGTTGTAAGCCATGTATATCTCAAATTGGTTAGGTCCCTAAGGTTTAAGCTAGCAGATAATTGTTTTCTTTTCATATATATTCTCAAGGGCTAGTTACTGAAAAATGAGCAAATTAAGATATAATACCCTTGTGAAAATGAATATGTGTCTGAAGAACAGACTATTCACCTTTATCAAATGTACTTCTAGGTATTTTTTCACACTTGAAAACAAACACAGCCAAGCACGGTGGCTCACGTCTGGCTGAAGCAGGTGGATCACCTGAGGTCAGGAGTTTGAGACCAGCCTGGCCAACATGGTGAAACCCCGTCTCTACTAAAAATACAAAAATTAGCTGGGTGTGGTGGTGGATGCCTATAATCCAAGCTACTTGGGAGGCTGAGATGAGAGAATCGCTTGAACCTGGGAGGCCAGGTTGCAGTGAGCCGAGATTGCACCACTGCACTCCAGTCTGAGCAAAAAGAGAGAAACTGTCTCAAAACAAAACAAACAAAAAACCCCACAAACACATGTACTTAGTGCCTCTGATCATAATATAAAATACCAGATCATACCTTCTCCTTTTTTACTTGGAACCAGTACCATGGAAGCTTCCCATTAAATTAATGAAATGCACTGAAACTTCTACTTACTGGTCAGGATAGAAAACATTTCATTTCTGACAAACCCCACTATCAACTCCTCAGTTACCAAATAGGTTGAAGAATGCTATCTTTGAGGACTCTAATGTTGACTCATTCACATGTTGAATGGGCTCCTTAATCTAAAAGAAATGCCTATGCTATAGTACAAGATTAGACTTGCTGCTTCCTTATTAAAGAAAAACTCCACTAGTCACTCCAAAGAGTCTACTGATATAACAGAGTAAACATGGATATGGAAGGAATTCCTACAGAGACTTTGAAGGCTGATTTAAAAGCAAGAGATTTTAAATGTGGAAATGCATATACAAGTATATACAATTTAATCAAATTCCTTACCAAAGTTTTCAAAGGTTGAAGTCACGTGATAATTATTCAGTCCTTTCATAACCATTCACTTTTGGTCAAATAGAGTATTCGTAGAACAAATCCCAAAACATTTGAATAAAGGGAAAGAGTCAGCTAAGACAACAGCTTTGCCAAGGAAGCTACAACTTGGTTATGTGATTTCATTCTTATCTTTTGCTGCTATATAAAAAGGGAATAAGAGAACAAACATTTCTTCCTTGCTGTTCTTTACTTCTAAGACTTTTCATGTTTTCCATGGTAAAGGTAAACATTAGAATTTACATTTCAGAGACCTAAGGGGCAAGGAGTGGAACCTGGAGGATACTGCTCTCTGACAATTCAAGAATTTCAACTCAATAGTAAAGGGCTAGCAAGAGAAAATGGACTGCTATTTCTCCACCTGCTAGATGGCATCCCATGAGTTCTATAAAATACACAACGAGGTATCTTCCCAACACTACTCAATGTACCATTTTGGGTTTTTCCTACTGAACCTACTAAATGCTGAGTGACATCTGAAGAAGGTGATAAATACTAGCATTCCTGGCTGTGTAATCTATACATTTTCATTTTAAATATAATAATTCAAGCATAATCCATATTTAAAAAATTAGACTAAGGAGAGACAATAAAGGTTTTAAAGGTTTCTCTTTGAAAAGATGGTATCTTACAGTACATACAAAAATACTCTGAAAATACATACGACTTCATTTACAAAACACTGAATCAACATATTACAAGAATTACATGGTTATGGATTTTAATAAACTGAGCATGCATTCATGAAACTTAAAAAATATTAAGAAATGCATTGAAAAAAGCAGCGTAAAAAAAGACAACTCATACAGTTAAATAAAAATTACAAAGGTCCTGAGCCAATTAATGGTTGGTAACAATGTCATTCAAAATGCCTTTAAGGTTTCAATAAAATCCACTGCTTATTTCTGCATGCCTAGTCCATGAAGAAATTATTTGAAGTTGTGGGGTAAATATGGTCAAGAATTATCATGCCAAGTTAATTTTACACCTCAAAAATACAAGTTTGCCATACTTAAAGGTATCTTATTGTTGATGCTGGAATGAGTTGATTCTCAGTAAAAAATACCAGTCAACTAACAAGAATGGCATGAAATAGGATATGTAACAATTTTACCATTCATATACTGACTTTCAGTATCCTGGTTATATTTTGATTTTTAATAAAGATGCATTTCAAAGGCCTCCACGGGAGGCAAAAGATAGAGAATTTATGGTGCCCAACTCTTATGTAATCACTGGACTAATCTTCCCTGGTAGCTAAGCAACATTTGGACAGAAAGGCACACAAAAAAGTTTAAATATTTCATGTGCCAATCTGGAAAAAAATAATTTAAATCAATAGAACAGACAGTACATCTAAACAAATGAGGAAAGCAGAAAAGATACCTCACATTCATTTATCTCAGGTTTCACAAAGTGGCTTCAATGCTAAAGTAAATGTGTTAACATTTGGAAAATACAAGACAATTTTTTTGTTTTCAGCTGTTTTTTTAGGTCTATACAATGATTACAACATAAGACAAAAAAAAAAACCCAAAACACACACACACACACAAAGGAGTTCAGGACTTGTCAGTGTCCAAGTGGCCAAGAACTGGTTCCCATAACAAGCGTTGAAAGTTAAGGCAGTAAAACCCCCAAATGCAAAGCTGTAATACTGTAGATTGCAATTTGACAGCAGGTGATCCTCAGAGAAGTGTATGTAGCAATCAGTAAGATAATGCTACAGCATCTGCAGGTCAAAGTGTGACAGTTCAGAAATCACCTCAAGGTTAATGAGGCTGAAGGCTGTAACTTTCACCATATTTCATGTATGACAGCCACTTCTATTTGAAAAAACAGTGACTGCATCTTCTATGCCACTAAATGATTGCTTGTTCTCTTAAGAGAGGAGGCACTGCTTTTACCGATTAAGAGTCAGTCGAATGGAATTTTTGATGACACGGATGTTATTTGCTGGAACTGGAGATGATGAATCTGGTAGTTCTTTACTGGGTAGTCTCTATTAGAAAGAAAGAGAAACAAAAAAGGAAGAGCACATCATATATATTATAAAGGCCCAGCTAGAAACTCACTCACAAAAAAACTCTTGAGTTTTTCTCCCAATCCCTCTAGCTCCTGAACACTCAAGTATGCAATGAATACTTCCAGTGTTCATAGGGAACTCTTGCTTTCGGCATGACTTCTTTTTACAGTCAGAGGTGAAAAGCAGAGGGCTAAGAGAAAGGTCAGAAGTGGCCAGAGTGTGAAGATGTAAAAGGATGTACAGGATGGGGACAGTTAGTTTCTTGTCAAGAGATGAGTGCTTAATTCTCCTCTCGTTTTACCTTGGCTAATCCAGTATCTGTATCATATCCATATGCATTAAAATAATTATGAACAATTTGAGATATACAAAGTAATAGAGAACAGGGCAATACTGACTTAAATCCCATAACCAAGTCTCAGATATTATCACAATTTTGCTAAATTGTTTGGTGTAGCCACTTTCACTTTAGACTTGATATATTAAAAAATCCATGTCATTTCACTCTTTTGTACTTTAATATGCATCTCAAAAATGTTTTCCACTATCACATAATTATACATTCATATTTTTTGTAACTTAATCTTATGTTACAGGCTCAAATTCTACAACAAACAGCTTGCGAGTATTCTATTTTGCTTTAGAAAAGCTACTACATTGTGGAGAACCTGGCAGGGTAAGAGCTGATGATGAGAAGCATTTTACTATTTAATGGAGAGGTGAAAATAAGCCACTCTTTTCACTATAAACTCAGAGAAGGACTTTGATTTACACCAGGCTGCATTTTGAGTACTTTCTTTTTAGCATAACATACTTAATAATACTACATATTATAAGTTATAAAAGTAATTCTTCAAATAATAAACATTTAAATTACAATTTAGGGACTTTTAGCTCATGTTTTAAAGGTATTTACTATATATACCACTACATTTGGTTCCTCTAAAATATTAATACATGTAGTTCCTAATTATCAAACCTATGTTTGGACAGTAAGCAGTAGTACACAACAGAGATATACTACCAGGTACTTGGTAAGAAATTAATATGCTAAGCATCCAGCTGCTTCTTTAAAGATAAAAAACAAAGGGTGAACATAATCTAAATAAATAATAAAGTTGTCTTAAACTATTCCCTCTTTTTTAGACTTCTGAGATACATACATTCAGAACTACATACTTTGTTGTCTCCAGCCCCAACCCCAACTACACTGCTAGTCTTGAGGCCAGGGACAAAATCTTTCCTTTTCCCAGTGCTAGGCTCTTAATAAGCCTTTTGTACTTGTAATTACCTATGAGTTTTTACCTACGTACTGTACCTATGAATAAGACTGTTACCTTTTTGCGAGATGTGTCAATAGTAGGAATAGGCATAGATTCTCCTCCAATGGCATCCTAAAAACAGAAGAAACAACGCAAGTGAAAACTAACTTTCTTAGACGCAAACACTTATTTCTACTTAAAATAAAACGTAACAGTAGATCTAGTCTGACCTACTTTCTAATATGACACTTTTCCTGATACATGGAGCTTTATAATAAATATTCTGAAGCACACTATTAATATATTTACCACCGATTTTCTTTTTCTTTCTTCAGCTGTGCGAGGGTCCTTAAATGTTGATTCAAGTCGAATAAACTAAAATATAAACATTGAAATAAATTGCTAGTATGTATCTGCAAAAACCATACAAATCTATATAGACTGGAAGACTAGTGGTTAGGCTATTATAAAAATTACTATAAATATGGGTTGGTAAGAGAAGATAATTTAAATCAGATTGACTTCAGCTGCCACTGTTAATTTCTACAGTTTGAGTGATCTTTTTGGTTAAATCAATTCAGATTCTAACAAATACAGTTTTACCACCACCTACTGGAAGCAGGGCATATTAACAGCCAATAAATGAGATTTTGTTACAATAATGACTTCTGTAAGTCAAGGAGAAACTCAGACCAATCAAGTTTTTAGACACATTAGTAATTTGATTTTATGATGAGCAATTAATACTGTTCCTTTAAGGTTTGGGTAAATATTCTTTTCAGTCAACTCCTAACAGAACACCAACAGCTATGGAAAATTGTTTCTTTAGTATTAAGTTTAAAAATACTAAGTACTGAATCACCACTAAGGTTGAGCTTTACCTTTTCTATGTCTTTCAGCCTCTTAGAAGTCCCATCTATGGATGGGGAATGGGATCTTTTGGGTGTAACAGTCTTAGTTATATTTGACATTCCATTCAGATGTGGCTGTCCCTGGGCAGGGTTGTGGGGTGTTGTGATTCTAGGAATGACATTTCGCCCTACTACGGTAGGAATGGTACACACAGCAGGGGGTGACACAGCTTTTACTGTAGAGTCAATTTCTGAAAAGGAAAAAAAGGATTTTAATAATTAAACATTTATGTATATAATTTTCTTCTTTTCTTGAGACAGGGTCTCTCATTCCCATCACCCAGGCTGGAGGGCAGTGGCTTGATCACGGCTCACTGCAGCCTCTACTTCCCAGGCTCAGGTGATCCTCCTGCCTTAGCCTTCCAAGTAGCTAGGACTACACACATGTGCCACCATGCCTAGCTAATTTTTTGTAAATAGAATTATTAATAATACAAGTTTAGATACCTACTTGCACCAATGACTGGAATGGAGAGTCCTTGGGCTGGTGGTACACTCAGTGGCTTCTCCACAATTACAGCAGTAGGCTCAGCACTATTCCTAATGAAAGTGTTAAATTATCATCAATAAATGATTTAAATATTACTTTTTTCCTCTTTTTTGAGAAAAGGCCTCACTCTATTGCCCAGGTTGGAGTGTAGTGGCACAATCACAGCTTACTGCAGCCTCAACCTCCCAGGCTCAAGTAACTGCCGCTCAGCCTCTCAGGTAGCTGGGAATATGGTGTGTGCCCTCATGTCTGGCTGATTTTTAAATTTTTATTCTTGTGGACACAGGATCCCACCATGTTGCCCAGGCTGGTCTTGAACTCCTGAGGCTCAAGCAATCCTCCTGGCTTAGCCTCCCAAAGTGCTGGAGCTACCACGCCTGGCCCCATTACTTATTTAAAACACTTATTATAACAATTATAACTGCCTTCTTTTTTTTTTTTTTTTTTTTGGACATGGTACTCTTTTGTCACCTAGGCTAGAGTGCAGTGGCATGAACACATGGCTCACTGCGGCCTCAACCTTCTGGGCTCAAGCAATTCTCCCACCTAAGCCTCCCGAGTAGCTGGGACTACAGGTGTGCACTACCATGCCGAGCTAATTATTTTTTTTTTGAGACAGAGTCTCACTCTTGTTGCCCAGGCTGGAGTGCAATGGCACGATCTTGGCTCACTGTAACCTCCACCTCCTGGGTTCAAGGGATTCTCCTGCCTCAGCCTCCCAAGTAGCTGGGATTACAAGCGTGCACCACCACGCCCTGTTAATTTTTGTATTTTCAGTAGAGACAGGGTTTTGCCATGTTTGCCAGGGTGGTCTTGAACTCCTGATCTCAGGTGATCTGCCCGCCTCAGCCTGCCAAAGTGCTGGGATTACAGGTGTGAACCACCGCCACCGTGCCTGGCCATTTTTTTTTTGTAGAGGCAGGGTTTCACCATGTTGCCCAGGCTGGTCTGGGAACTCCTGGGCTCCAGTGATCCGCCTGCCTGACCTCTCAAAGTTGTAGGATTACAAGCCCCAGCCACTCACTGTGCCTGGCCACAACTGTTGGCTCAGGCCTGTACTTTAACATTTCATTGAAATAAAAGGGGGGAAAAAAGCAGAGGAGCCAGTAAGAAGAGAAAAATTCTACCTTGATCAGCTATAGCACATAGAGACAACTTTAAAAAAAAAAAAGAAAAAAAAAGAAAAATTTAGGCAAAAAATGCGTACATTTCCATGTACCTATCTAGTCCCACATGCTTATAAGCCTATTATACCATCTCCCACAGGATTACCACAATTATTTCTAAACAACAAACTGATCAGCAGCCTGTAAAATAAAATCTTTCAACAATTTAAAAAGAAAGGCAGTAGCAGAGGTATAGAAAAGTTCATATTATCCTCAAACAAACTGAACAGAAAACCAAAAGGACGCATTTGAAATCAGACAGACCTTTCCGTTTCTCCTAAAGAAGGGCTATCAGACTTGGATGCTGGAGAATTAAAAGGTGTTCCATTATCAGTGTCTCTGGAGCTATCTAGACAACTGCTATCCAGAGACGATCTTTTGGATTGAAGTCCGCCCAAGCTTCGACTGACATCAGAGAGACTTTGCTGAAAGAAGGAAACGATTTTAGGATTTCGAAAAGGAAATTATAAAGACTGGTTTCAATTTTGAAGGTCATTTAAGCAAATTATCTCTTGTGATGATTGAAAATGAGATTTCAGTCCTAGATTGAATTGCCTATATCCTCATTTTTCTCAATAGGTTTGGGAGCTGTAAGAATGCAAATTTGATCCCAGATTTGTCTGAGTAAAACCATACTGGAAAGTTAAGATTACAAACTCACCTTTTTCTTCTTTTGAAGAATTTCTGCAGGAAGGTAGTGATGAAGTTGTTTTTTCTTTACATGAGTTGCTTCAATTTTCATTCCCTCCTTTAGCATATTTATATTGTTTGCCTGTCTGTACACTGCAACAATGTTAATATGTTAAATGGGACACTTCTTTCTGAACCAAGGGTTCTGTCTAATTTTTCTGAAATGCATATGCCTTTATTATCTCCCCACTATCACCACCGGCCACCCACCCACCCATAATCCTCTCACAAAACAAATATTTTTAATACATTTACATCACATCACAATCCTATTCATGAATCCACTAGTTTCTCTCTTTTTTTTTTTTTGAGACCGAGTTTCACTCTTGTTGCCCAGGCTGGAGTGCAATGGCGCAATCTTGGCTCAGAGCAACCTCCGCCTCCTGGGTTCAAGCGATTTTCCTGCCTCAGCCTCCCAAGTAGCTGGGATTACAGGCATGCATCACACCATGCCTATTTTGTTTTTTTTAGTAAAGATGGGGTTTCTCCATGTTGGTCAGGCTGGTCTTGAATTTCTGACCTCAGGTATTCTGCCCGCCTTGGCCTTCTAAAGTGCTGGGATTACAGGCGTGAGCCACTGTGCCTGGACATGAATCCACTAGTTTTTCCATGTCCACCTTCTAAGCCTTTCTCATAATTAAACCTTATTAACAACATAAATGTATGGGAAAAAAGGTATTTTCCAGATCTTGTTTTCTGATATTATCCCAAGAGGCAATCTTTCCTCATAATTACCTGTCCAAGTCTAAGCTAACTCTTTTTATTATTTATTTATTTTTTTAAGATGGGGTTTCACCATGATGGCCAGGCTGGTCTTGAACTCTTGACCTCAGGTGATCCACCCACCTTGGCCTCCCAAAGTGCTAGGATTACAGGTGAGAGCCACTGCACCCGGCCCAATTCTTTTTATTTTTTTGCCACAGACTCTTTGTCACCTAGGGTGGAGTGCAGTGGCACAATCTTGGCTCACTGCAACCTCTGCCTCCTGTGTTCAAGCTATTCTTCTGCCCCAGCCTCCCAAGTAGCTGGGATTACAGGCATGCGCCACCATGCCCAGCTACTTTTTGGATTTTTTGTAGAGACGGGGTTTCACCATGTTGGTCAGACTGGTCTTGAACTCCCGACCTCAGGTGATCTGCCCACCTTGGCCTCCTAAAGTGCTGGGATTATAGGCGTGAGTCACTGTGGTTGGCCACGAATCCACTAGTTTTTCCATGTCCACCTTCTAAGACTTTCTCATAATCAAACTTTATTAACAACATAAATGTATGAAAAAAGGTATGTTCCAGATCTTGTTTTCTAATATTTTCCCAAAAGGCAATCTCTCCTCATAATTACTTGTCCAAGTCTACTTCTTTTTTTTTGGACGTAAGTCTTGCTCTGTCACCCAGTCTGAAGTGCAGTGGTGCAATCTTGGCTCACTGCAACCTCTGCCTCCAGGGTTCAAGCTATTCTCCTGCCTCAGCCTCTCAAGTAGCTGGGACTAGAGGTGTGTGGTACCATGCCCAGCTACTTTTTTGATTTTTCATAGAGATGGGGTTTCACTATGTTGGCCAGGCTGGTCTCAAAATCCTGATCTCAAAAGATCCACCCACCTCTGCCTCCCAAAGTGCTGGGATTACAGATGTGAGCCACTGTACCCAGCCTTTTAAGCCAATTCTTACACCAAATATCCAAGATGCAATTCAAGTTGTCTATGAGAATTTACTACTGCAGCTACCACAATCATAGAAAGACAGACTTCAGGAACCATCTTACAAACACATCCTTATTGTACAGTTGAGAAAAGGAGGCTAACCAGCCCTGAATGCCCTGCATGCCCTGCCAGGATCAGAATCCACACAGCCCTAGATTCCCATTCTAGTGCTTTTCACACCTTATAAGAATATGGGTTTTATTTATTTTATTATAACCACATAAATTTCTTAATATGTTTTAATTGTAAATATACCCAATTAGATTAAAAGCCCACTGAAGACAGGGATGGGAGGCTTGTTTTACACAGCAACTACTGTGAGATGTGGTAAATTATTAATCTCTTGGGGCCTCAAGTTTCTTCATCTGAAAAATAATATTTTATAAATTTATAATAAACAATGTCCCTTCTCCTTTTTAAAGCAAGCCCAAATTAGAATGGAAAAATTTATAGTGAATGTTTTTATTCCAGATTGCTTATAAAAGAGTTACCAGGGGTGCTTGTTCAAGATGCAGATTCTTTGGTTCCCTCCCCAGAGTGTGATTTAGTGGTTCTAAGGTGAAGCATAGGTATCTGCATATTTTTTCCTCCTGGTTTTTTTTTTCAGATGGCATTTTGCTCTTTTTGCCCAGGCTGGAGTGCAATGGTGCGATCTCAGCTCCCTGCAACCTCTGCCTCCCAGGTTCAAGTGATTCTCCTGCCTCAGCCTCCCAAGTACCTGGGAGTACAGGCATATGCCACCACGCCCGGCTAATTTTTGTATTTTTAGTAGAGATGGGGTTTCACCACGTTGGCCAGGCTAGTCTTGAATTCCTGACCTCAGGTGATCTGTTTGCCTCGGCCTCCCAAAGTACTGGGATTACAGGCGTTAGCCACTGCACCTGGCCAGGAATCTGCATTTTCATAATAGGAGGGCTCTTTCAAAAGAATTCAGAAAACCCAGATGAGCCAAACCAATAATTTTAATAGTATTCCAGATTGTTAAGATAAACAATCCTAAATTCGTAACAGATATATTAAGACATTCCAGGGTTGTGACTAGAGTGCTAGATGTGAAAGATACTCTTTTCACTGATCCTGAAATATATTCAGTAATTCTGTACTTACGGATATTTCATATAAAAAACATAAAAATCTGGCCAGGTGCAGAGGCTGACACCTGTAATCCCAGCACTCTGAGAGGCCGAAGTGGGCAAATCGCTTGAATCCAGGAGTTCGAGACCAGCCTGGGCAACATAGCGAAATCCTGTCTCTATTTAAAACAAACAAACAAAACAAACCCCATAAAAATCAAGTCCTTTATTTTTTGAGACAGGGTCTCACTTTGTCACCCAAACTACAGAGTAGTGGCACAATCTGGGCTCACTGGAGCCTTGACCTTCTAGCAATTCTCCCACCTCAGCCTCCAAGGTAGCTGGGACAACAGGTGTGTGCCACTATACCTGGTAAATTCTTTTTGTATTTTTTGTAAAGATGAGTTTCAACATGTTGCCCAGGCTGGTCTCAAACTCCTGAGCTCAAGAGGTTCACCTGTCTCAGTCTCCCAAAGTATTAGGATTACAGGAGCTTGTTAGCCACTGCGCCTGGCAAAAATCAAGTCATCTTTATGACTGTGGTCACAAACCCTGGTTGTATACACAAAGAGCTTTCCTTTCTTTGTATTTTAAAACATAACATTCAGCCGGACAAGGCGGCTCACGCTGTAATCCCAGCACTTTGGGAGGCCGAGGCAGGTGGATCACTTGTGGTCAGGTGTTTGAGACCAGCATGGCCAGCATGGTGAAACTCCTCTTCTAAAATTACAAAAATTAGCCAGGCATGGTGGCATGGACCTGTAATTCCAGCTACTTGGGAGGTTGAGGCATGAGAATCGCTTGAACCCCAGAGGTGAAGGTTACAGTGAGCTGAGATCACACCACTGCAGTCCAGCCTGGGTGACAGAGTGAGACTCTGTCTCATAAAATAAAATAAAACAGTTAACATTTACATGCTACAAAACTCAAAGTGTTGAAGAGTATTCAATGATGTCTCCTTATCCTGTCCCCTGACCTAGAAGCAACCACTCTTGCCATTTTTTTAAAAAACTAAGTAAGCATCCTTCCGGAGATATTCTATGCAATTGTAAGCAAATGTGTATTTATTTTTCTTTTATTATTTCTATAAATGGTAGCACAGTGTACACAGTGTTCTGTAATTTTACCTCCCACTTAATATATCTTGGAAATTGTTTCATAATGCTTTTTTTTTTTTTTTTTTGAGACAGAGTCTCACTCTGTGGCTCAGGCTGGAGTGCAGTGGGACAATCTCAGCTCACTGCAATCTCCTCCTCCTGGGTTCAAGCGATTTTCCTGCCTTAGCCTCCGAAGCAGCTGGGATTACAGGCGTCTGCCACACCCCGCTAACTTTCCTATTTTTAGTAGAGATGGGGTTTCACCGTATTAGCCAGGCTGGTCTCGAACTCCTGACCTCAGGTAATCTGCCCGCCTCTGCCTCCCAAGTGCTGGGATTATGGGGCGTGAGCCATCGCAACCGGCTCCTTTCCTATTTTAATAGCAGTATGGATATTCCATATTCACTTAACCAATTGTGGAACTTTAATAAGTACAGCCAGCCAGATCGTAGGCAGATGACACTGAGTAATAGCCAGGTTTGAGAATCACAGCTCTATGATGATGAAGTCTTACCTGTATCAGTAAATGACTGTATATCATATGTCAAGTCTATGTTGACACTTTCTGCATTTTCTACTCTCCGAAAAATTATCCCAAGGAACCACATTGATACGTAATTGTTGCTATAAAGTAAAATTTAAGAATTTCCATTAATTACTATTTTTTTTTTTTTTTTTTTTTACAATGTTACAGATGCTACTTCATAATTAAAACTTGGTCTCTACGTCTCTATCTCACAAATATAGATTTCAGTGGTCTGGCCAGATTCTTAAAAGTGGCAACCAGAACACTGGTAAGTTACTGCCTGTTGTTCTAAGGAGGATTAAGTGGCTATGAAAATGACTTACTAAATATATGCTTAAATATGCTCCAAATATTGTGATGGTGTTTTGCTGGGGTTTCTGGGCTACTTAAGTAGTATGTACTTATTTTTAATGTTAATGCCTAGCCCACTCAAACTCAACATATACTGTGTCATACTCCCATCAATGCCTGTTAAACAAAAATCTCGCAATTACTCTGAAATGATGCATATGCCAAATAACATTATTTAATAAATACAGTATTAAAAAACAATGAACTTACTCTTTATGATGTTCCTTACTCCCTGGGAATGACTGGGGATTCACATGGGCAAGAGTAATAAATTCATTCCGTTCCAAGTTTCCAACAAGAACACGTATTTTAGATTCTACTAATCCAACCCTAAAACAAACAAGGAACACAATTCATCTTACTGTAGCTTTAAATCTGAAAGCTACACTCAAGTAAACCAAACAGCATATTAACTATGAAGCTTTACATGTTCATTAAAAAATTTCAGGCTGGGTGTGGTAGCTTATGCCTGTAATCCCAGCCCTTTGGGAGGCTGAGGCGGGCAGATCCCCTGAGGTCAGGAGTTCAAGACCAGCCTGGCCAACATGGTAAAACCCCATCTTTACTAAAAATACCAAAAAATTAGCTGAGTATGGGATGCACACCTATATTCTCAGCTACTCAGGAGGCTGAGGCAGAAGAATCGCTTCAACCTGGGAGGTGGAGGCTGCAGTGAGCTGAGATCACCCCACTGCACTCCAGCCTGGGTGACAGAGTGAGGTACCATCACTAAATAAATAAATTAAATAAAAATTTCTGCCCAATATATTAGAAACCCCATTCAAAATGCCATTGTAAACACAATTTATCTTATGTCAACTTTAAATATGAAAGCTACACTCAAGTAAACCAAACAGCATATTAGCTATGAATCTTTACATGCTAATTTAAAATTTTCAGCCCAATATATTAGGAACCCCATTTAAAATGCCACTGTAGTAAATAACAAGTTGGTAGATTCCTATGTGTTCTTTTATTTAAATAGAATAACGGATTTATTTAATGCATTTCTGAATCTAAGATGCCCTGACTTAGTTAAGACTATAAATACTCATGGCTTAGGGCATGAACAAAAATTGCTGGTTAATCTAATCCCAAATCTTTTTTTACCTTCAACTCTTATGTCTCAAACCTAAGGCTAGGCCAGGTGTGGTGGCTCATGCTCGTTAATCCCAGTACTTTGGGAAGCTGAGGCAGGAGGGACCGCTTGAGCCCAGGAGTTTGAGGCTGCAGTATGGTCACACCACTGTACTCCAGCCTGGGTGACAGTAAGACTCCATCTCTTTTAAAAAAAAAAAAAAATCCTAAGGCTAAGATATGTTTAAGCAATGAAACTAATATTGGCACATAATATACGAAACAATCATATACTATGATAGACTTTGCATTTAAGAAAAAAAGTCACTAAATTTGGATTAGATATTATTAAAATACCGTTTCTTCAGATTTCTGCAACTTCATTTCTACCTCACTTAAGAAGTGTGACCAATGGCAGCTATATAAATTATTAATGACTTAATGAATTAGAATAACTATAAGTACATTTTAACATTTTTTTAAAGAACATCAGCAAAAGCTTATACATTATAATTGTTGTGTGTGCTTTAACAGTCAATCTACAAAAATTTGTGTTATTCCAGTGTCATCTAAATGAGAGGTTGGTAAACTTTCTGTAAAGGGCTAAATAGTAAATTTTAGGGTTTCTGGGCCATACAGTCTCGGTTACAACTATTCAATTTTGCAATGAAGCCCAGAAGCAGCCATAGATAATATATAAATGAAGAAACATGGCTATATTCCAATAAAACATAAAAAATAGGTGGCAGACTGAATTTGGCCTATACCCTATTTTCTAACTCCTGATACAGACAAACAAAATACTGTTTCAGTGACAGGATTATTTTCAGAGTTGCTTTAATTACTATTGAAATAAGCATTAAACTCCTGAAGTAAAAATAAAACAGTTGTTGTTTTGCTTTTCCAGAAGTCAGACCCAAGGAAAGTACAACCATCTCTGGTGGTCTAATAGCTTCCGCCTGATAGAGCCAAGGATGTGAATATACTGGAGGCGGGGGGTGGGTGGGAGGGGAGAGATAAAATCAGATGTGCTAGAAAGAATACCTACTTCTTGACCACAAATATCTCCTATCTGTTGACGGAAGCTAAATCTGAAAAATTTATGCCATCATATCCTAAATTAAAAGTATATAGAAAACGTCTTGTCTTCTGAGTTTTGTTGGAGGTAAACATGATGGCAAAAATGGAAAACTTATTAAGACAGTGGCTATCAGAATCATCCAAACTAGCTCAAAATTTTACTTAAATCTGAGAAGCAACAAGAAGCAGAATTTATATATATATCCTTCTCTCATGTCCCTCATGATTCTGAAACATTAATTTGATGGCGTATTTTAAACACTGAAGCTCTGTGGTCATATACAACAATCGCCAGTAAGCTATAATTTTACGGATCACTTGAGATCAGGAGTTTGAGACCAGCCTGGCCAATATGGTGAAAACCTGTCTCTACCAAAACTACAAAAATTAGCCATAGGGTATGAGAGCACGCAGCTGTAGTCCCAGCTGCTCAGGAGGCTAAGGCAGGAGAATCACTTGAACCCAGGAGGCGGAGGCTGCAGTGAGCCGAGATCACGCCACTGTACTCCAGTCTGGGTGACAGAGAGAGACTCCCTCTCCAAAAAAAAAAAAAAAAAAAAAAAAAAAAAACGCTGGGTGAGGTGGCTCATTAATCCCAGCACTTTGGGAGGCTAAGGTGGGCAGATCACCTGAGGCGAGGAGTTCTGAGACCAGCCTGGCCAACATGGCGAAACTGAGATCACGACACTGCACTCCAGCCTGAGCAACAGTGAGACTCTCTCTCGAAAAAAAAAAAAAAATTAATAATTTTGTAAATCAAGCAAGAATGAGCAACAGTGAGACTCTCTCTCGAAAAAAAAAATTAATAATTTTGTAAATCAAGTATTTTTTAAATGGTAAAGCACCATGTAAATATGTCACTATTACCACACACTAGATAGAAAATTTGAAATAGAAGTCTTACCACTCTAGATGGTTTTCTTCTGTTGATGCGCTGGCAGTCAATACTATATAATGTCTGAAGAATTTTCAGCAACAATCAGGAAAAAAAAGCCAGAAAAATTGTTAAGGCCTGCTTTTTAATCATCCCTTTTTTCCCTCCCTCTTACTGAACAAATGAGCTAATAAAGACACACAGTTTAAGAAAATTAAATGTGCTCTAATTTTTGCAAAATTAATTCTAGGTCCTACAAGTAGAAAACAATTCACTTTAAAAAGTCATTAATATTGGATTAGATGCTAATAGAATGAAGAAATACTCTTATCACTTAGGATTTGTTAGTTTATTCTCTATCTTGCTTAAGAAATAGAAGAGCTGTTGCCTGCCATGTATTAACTAAGTCTAACATTATTCTTTAAAAAAAAACACATACATACAAATACAAAATTTCACATACCTATACTTTTGAAAGAAATTTGGTGGCTCAAGTAGTTTGGACCAATCTGATTTTCCTTGAAGAATTTCATCTGTGACTGCGAGACCTAAATTTACAACAAAACAAAACAAACGAAGAACAAAAAATGATTTTGAGAGGGACCAGCTGTTAAATCACTCTATTACTACAAAATCTCAAACTCCACCACACCCAATTCTTTGAGGTGGAGTCTCACTCTGTCACTGAGGCTGGAGGGTGGTGGCTCTATTTTGGCTCACTGCAACGTCCTCCTGGGTTCAAGTGATTTTCCTGCCTTAGTCTCCTGAGTAGCTGAGATTACAGGTGGGTGCCACCATGCCTGGCTAATTTTTGTTTTTAGTAGAGACGGGGTTTCACCATGTTGGCCAGGCTGGTCTTGAACTCCTGACCTTGGGTGATCCACCCAACCTCGGCCTCCCAAAGTGCTGGGATTATAGGGGTGAGCCCACTGTGCCTGGCCCACCAAATTCTTGAGTAGCAAAATATAAATATATGCTATTTCTTAGAATACAAAACATTAGGTTCCACCAGACTGGGTTGGCTCCATTTTTGGCCTAATATTATCATATACTTTAAAAAACTAATTACTAAAAAACAAAACAACCATATTTGGAAGAATTTTTAGGAATAATAGCTATAATGCTAACTGCCAATCCATAGCTGTAACAGAGAATAAAATTGTTGTCAACCAAAAACTTGTGGGAATATGTAAAGGGCAATAGGGCCAACATGTTTACCTTGTTTAAATTCTTCTACCATTACTGTTCGAGTTGATGTGGACACATTATACGTAGAATTCTGTTGTGGGTAGGCAGGGGTGATTATGGGCATGAGATGATACCTATCTGATGGATTTACCTGTGAAATTAGAAGCAGAATAACTGATCTATTCTCCTATTTCAGCTGTCCTCACTTCATTTCCCCAAAAGTCTGAAGAATATGAAATATAAATTTAATACTACATTTCCTCAAGTCTAAGAAGTACATTTCCCCTCTCCAACTACATTTATTTCTGAACTCAGATATGTCTAAGAGTCAAAGTCAAAGGAAACATTTCAGAAGTGTTTTTCCTCAGAAAAGCTGTTAAACTGATGTGGAGCTTATAAATAATATATCATGATCAAGGACATACAGTATTATAACTACAAGAAGCATTATCTGATTTAATGGTTCTCATTCTTTTTTATCCCACTCAATGGATGACTTCCCCTTGTTTACCTAGAGGAAGGAGCACTCACTCTAAAAGCAAAATAAAATGCAAGATATGAGAGAATTATGCTATCTTGGAACAATGAATCTGCTTTAAATTGTATTGCAAGGCAAATCTTTTATTATACTTTAATACTTTATTATTAGTAACCAATTACTTTTTTTTTTCTTTTGAGACAAAGTCTCAACTCCATCACCCAGGCTGAAGTGCAGTGGCACAATCTCGGCTCACTGCAACCTCTGCCTCTTGGGTTCAGGTGATTCTTGTGCCTCAGCCTCCAGAGTAGCTGGGAGTATAGGCATGCACCACCATGCCTGGCTAATTTTTTGTATTTTCAGTAGGGAGGGGGTTTTACCATATTGGCCAGGCTGGTCTCGAATTCCTGACCTCAGGTAATCCACCCGCCTTGGCCTCCCAAAGTGCTGGGATTACAGGCGTGAGCCATCACGTCCAGCCGAGAAACCAATTACTTTTGAGACAGTTTTTCACAATGGATTATGACATTGTCCTTGAGACACCCACTTATCTCACATGGGCAATTTTTAATGACATAACATTTGGATCAGCATTAGTGGTCCTAATCATCTGCAGAAAAAAAAAAAAAAGCAGCAGAAGGAGAAAGAGCACTATAGTTATTCAGAAGAACAAAGAACAGAGGAACTAACTTTAACTAGACTGTAATTTAGAGAAATGTCCTTTTCCTTAAAAGGGTTAAGGAAATTCCATAATAAATCACATACCCGAGGATCCCAGACAGGCAAATTCAAATTGCTTTCTTCTGGTTGCTTCAGCAGCACAGGATTTGGCCATTCCCTGACATGAATAAGGCAAATTAACTTACACATGATCTCACTTCAGGTACTATGTGAAATCTTAATGACTGTTCTAACCTTCTACAGAGCAAATGTTCTGGGTATTTGGTATTAACAGAAAAAAAATGGCTGAGCTTGGTGGCTCATGCCTGTAATCCCAGCACTTTGGGAAACTGAGGTAGGCCGATCACTTGAGCTCAGGAGTTTGAGACCAGCCTGGGCAACATGGCAAAACCTTGCCTCTACTAAAAACACAAAAATTAGCTGTGCCTGGTGGCGCATGCCTATAGTCCCAGCTACTCGGGGGGTGAGGTGAGAGGATGACTTGAGCCCAGGAGGCAGAGGTTGCAGTGAGCTGAGATGCATGCACTCTAGCCTGGGCAAGAGTGAGACCCTGTCTCAATTAAAAAAAAAAAAAAAGAAAAGAAAGAAAGAAATGGGCTAAGGAGGAAGGTAATGCATTATACAAAGAAAAGGCTGCCTATTTTTTAATACAGTGTTCTCTGAAAGGGCAAATATTACTGTGCATTAACTATAACTAATTTACACCTGAATCTTTCACTTCCTTCTCATTTGCTTTCATGGATTTAATTCTGATAATTTTGTAACAGCAACAGCTAACATGTACTGAAAAAACTAATAAATAAATGTGATTATCACCTCCATTTTACAAATGAGAAAAGCTTAAGCAACCTCTACATAACTAGTAATTTGCAAAGCCAAACTTATTTTAACCGCTCTCCCAAGGTGAAGGCCCACATTTACAAATCCCTGGAAGGAGGTGTCATCTGGATGTCCCACCACTTCCTCAAATTTGATGTTTTACACTTTTAACTTTACAAAGGAATGTACAACAACAGAAAAAGTCTATGTATAGCTCTTAAATTTCCAAACGAATTTACATACAGGTAGAGGTTAGTAAATAGTCAAAGTACTTACCACTTGGAAAAAACTAAAAAGAACTTATGAACTAAAGTAGATGCTGCTGCATTTGGATATAATTGGCAAGTTCTTGCAACTAGCATTGCCCAGGAGACACCACCAAGGAATCCTAGCATGTTGGAATAAATACCACGTCCTAGAAAATCAATATATTTGCTAATTATTGTTAGGGCCGACTATCTGTGACATTCTTTTTATTTTTTCTTTTTTCTGCTAGTTACAAGGTGAATGAATATCCATGACATTCAACAAGATAACTTTATTCTTAAGATAGTTGGTTGGAACTTTTCCCCAGTAAACAAAACATTAAAACTGATAAGCAGACCTTCACATTAGGCTCACAGTCCAATTAGTAACCATAAATTGCTAATCTTACTCTCCTTACTTTGCCTTCTAGAACAGACACCTCAGTTCTCTGCCTCAGTTCCAACTGCTCAACTGGGCTCCACTGATATTACATAGAAATGCCCCATTTTTTAGTATTTAGGATTGAGAGAAAAATGAAAGGAAGGAGACATTTGGAGAGACAATGGGGAAGAATGAATATTTCATTAGTAATCATATTTATGGGTATTTTTAAATCAAGTGTAAAGCTGAAGACTTACTTCAGTATTTCACAGAATTTGGACAACTCCCCATAAAATAGAATACACCACACCACTGACATTACTCATTTTCTTTTTTAAAGAGATGGGCTCTCACTCTGTCACCCAGACTGGAGTGTACTGGCACAATCATAGTTCACTGCACCCTCAAACTCCTGAGCTCAACTGATCTTCCACCTCAGCTTCTTGAATAGCTGTGATAACAGGGGTGCACCACCATGCTTGTCATGATCGTTTCTTATAGCTATCTATATTATGTCCCACCAAGTGAGCAAAAGAAAAAAAACTACCAAATACCAATTTCAGACACTGTAAATACAAAAAATATGCATCTAGTTGACAAAACATGGCATTTAATCTCTAAGAAGTGCAAATTGTTCATGTTATCCCTTCACTGCAAATTTTACTTTATTCTAACTATACAAGACCCTTGAGCCCAAGGACAAAGTTTAATTGTTTAATATCTTTTTAGACCTGCACTGTCCAATATGGTAGCCACAAGCCATGTGCTGCTATTTTTTAATTTGTATCAGCTTTACTGAGATGTAATTCACATACCATAAGATTCATCCATTTAAAGTACACAATTCAGTGGTTTTTAGTATACTGAGAGTTGTGCAATCAATAACATTATCAATTCTAGAATGTTTTTCATGACCCCAAAAAGAAACCTTTAACTGTCACACTCAGCCAGGCACTGTGGCTCACACCTGTAACGCCACCACTTTGGGAAGCCAAGGCAGAAGGATTGCTTGAGCTCAGGAGTTTGAGCCTGAATAACATAGCAACACCTAGTCTCTGCTAAAAAAAAAATTAGCTGGGCATGGTGGCACATGCCTGTAGTCCCAGCCACTCAGGAGGCTAGGGTGGAAGGACTGCTTGAGCCCAGAAGGTCAAGGCTGCAGTGAGCTATGACTGCATCACTGCATTCCAGCCTGGGAGACAGAGCAAGCCCCTGTCTAAAAAAATGAAATGAAATGAAATAAAATAAAATAAATATAAAGGCATACCTCATTTTATTGTGCTTTGCTTTATTACACTTCACAGATACTGAGTTTTTTACAAGTTGAAAGTTTGTGGCAACCCTGAGTTGAGCAAATCTATCAGTACCATTTTTCCAACAGCATAAGCTCTCGTTTCATGACTCTTGTGTCACATTTTAGTAATTCTCACAAGATTTCAAAGTTTATTATTATTATTATATGTGTTATGGTGATTTGTGATTAGTGATCGTTGATGCTACTATTGTAATTGTTTTGGGGCACCACAAACTGAGCCCATGTAAGAGGGTGAACTTAGTTGGTAAATATGTATGTTCTGAATGCTCCACAGACTGGTCATTACCCATCTCTCGCCCTCTCCTCAGGTCTCCCTATTTCTTGAGACACAACAATATTTAAATTAAGCCAATTAAGAACCCTTAATGGCCTCTAAGTGTTCAAGTAAAAGAAATAGTGGCATATCTCTCACTTTAAATCAAAAGCTAGAAAAGATTAAGCTCAGTGAAGAAGGCATGTTGAAAGCTATGATAGTCAAAGCTGTGTTTCTTGTGCCAATCAGTTAACCAAGTTGAGAATGCCAAGGAAAAGTTCTTGACAGAAATTACAAGTGCTACTTTCCAGTGAATACAGGAATGACAAAAGTAAAACTGACTTATTGCTGATAGAAAATTTTAGTTTTTGTCTGGATGAAAAAAATCAAATGAGACATAATGTTCCCTTAAGCCAAAGTCTAATCCAGAGCAAAGCCCTAACTTCTTTTTAATCATATGAAGGCTGAGAGAGGTGAAGAAGGTGTAGATGCAAAGTCTGAAGTTAGTAAAGGCTGCTGCATAGGTTTAAGGAAAGAAACCATCTCCACAACATAAAAGTGCAACAAGTGCTCATGCAGAAGCTGCAGGAAGTTATCCAGAATATCTAGCTAAAATCACTGATGAAGGTGGCTACCCTAAACAACAGATTATCAATGTAGATGAAACAGCCTTATACTGGAAGAAGATGCTAGCTAGAGCTTTCATAGCTAGGGAGGAGAAACTTGGTTATAAAGCTTCAAAGGACAGGTAATTTTCCTATTAGAGGCTAATGCAGCTAGTGACTTTAAATTGAAGCCAGCTGGGTGCGGTGGCTATTGCTTGTAATCCCAGCACTTTGGGAGGCCGAGGCAGGCAGATCATCTGAGGTCAGGAGTTCAAGACCAGCCTGGCCAACATGGTGAAACCCCATCTCTATTAAAAATACAAAAAGTAGCCAGGTGTGGTGGTACACACCTTTAATCCCAGCTACTCGGGAGGCTGAGGCAAGAGAATCCCTTAAACCTAGGAGGAGGAGGTTGCAGTAAGCCAAGATCCTGCCATTGCACTCCAGCTGGGCAACAGAGTGAGACTTCATCTCAAAGGAAAAAAAAAAAAAAAAAAAAAAAAAATCGAAGTCTTGCAGCCAATGCTCATTTAACATTCCCCAAATCCCAGGGCCCTTAAGAATAATGCTCACTCTACTGTCTGTGCTGTATAAATGGAACAACAAAGCCTAGATGATAGCACAGCTGTTTACAGCATGGTTTACTGAGTATTTAAAAACCCATTGGTGAGATCCACTGCTCAGGTGAAAAAGATTCCTTTCTAAGTATGACTGCTCTTTGACAATGCACTTAGTCACCCAAGAATTCTAGTGGAGATATACTAGGAGATTAAAGTTATTTTCATACTTGCTAATACAGCATCCATTCTGTAGCCCATGGATCAAGGAGTTATCTTCTTGTTTTACCATTTAAGGAATACATTTTGGCCAGGCATGGTAGCTCACAGCACTTTGGAAGGCCAAGGCAGGAGGATCACTAGTAGTCAGGAGTTCAAGACCAGCTTGGGCAATATAGCTAGACCTCATCTCTACTAAAACTGTTTTAAAAACTTCGCCAGGCATGGTAGCATAGGCCTGCAGTCCTAAGCTACTCAGGAGTCTGAGGAGGGAGGATCCCTTGAGCCCAGGAGTTTGAGAACAGCCTGGGCAACACAGTGAGACCCTTTCTCCTGGTGCAGGGTGGAAATCAACATTAACAAGAGTTTGGAAGAAGTTGATTCCAACTCTCATGGATGACTGAGAGAGGTTCAGGACTTCAACAGAAGAAGTTAACTGCCAACGTAGTAAAATTAACAAGAGAACTAGAATCAGAAATGGATCCTTAAGATGTGATTGAATTGCTGCAATCTCATGATGTAACTTTAAGGGAGGAGGAGTTGCTTCTTATGGACGAGCAAAGGAAGTGGTTTCTTGAGACAGAATCTACTTCTGGTGAAGATACTATGAGAACTGTTGAAATGACAACAAAGGATTTAGAATATTACATAAACTAGTTGATAAAGCAGTGGCAGGATTTTAGAGGAATGACTCCAATTTTGAAAGACTTTCTACTTGTGGGTAAACTGCTATTCAACAGCATGGCATGCTACAGAGAAATCTTTCATGAAATAATCAATGCAGCAAACTTCACTGGTGTCTTAAAGAAATTGACAGTCAAAAAAAAAAGAAAAAGAAATTGCCAATCACCCCAACCTTCTGCAACTACCATCCTCATCATTCCGCAGACATCAACATCAAGGCAAGACCCTACACCAGCAAAAAGATGACAACTTACTGAACACTCAGCTGACTGTTAGCATTTTTAGCAATAAAGTATTTTTTAATTAAGGTACGCACATTTTGAAAGACATAATGCTATTTATTGCATACTTAACAGATTGCAGTATAGTGTAACTTTTCTACGTACTTGGAAACAAACAAAAAAAAATTGTAATTTGCTTTACTGCAGTGATCTGGAACCGAACCTGCAATATCTCAGAGGTGTGCCTAAACAACAAATTATACAGAATGTGCTGTGTCAGCTCAGTGGTAAGCAAAGGGATTTTTAAGAACCTAAATATATAAACTAGTAACAGTTCCAGGCTTTATTAGAGAAGTGTTATAAGGTAAAAACAAGTGAAAATCATCACTGTAGGCTCTTCCCTCAATAACTTTATTGAATACCTACTACAGTATAAACCAGACTCTTTGCTGGTGGGAATACAAAGATATAGAAGATGGTGCTACCCACAGGGAGGAGTGTTAGTCTTCAAGTTCTGACTTATTCTGACTACCTGGCTGAATCTAAGATGAAAAGTCATGGGATTTTAGTTTTTACCCAAGGGGGAAGAGGTACACTACATATCAAAACACCATATATGGAAAAGCAAATAGTTACTCTAGACTTTACTGGTCCTCAACCTCCAACAATATCATTAGGATGAGAGTTTCTAAATGTGTTTCTATCACTGGCAAGAGAAAATTAGAATTTTATAATGCAAACAAAAAAGACTAGAGATACTTACGTTTTGCCCATAATTTGACAGCTCTTAGGGTGAGTCTAAAAGTTTCTTTATTTGGCACTAAATGCAAAATTTCATCAGTAACTCTACATCCTGAAAAAGACAAAGCAATCACTTTTCGCTATGAAGCAAATACTCAAGTTAATTCAAATGCCCTCCTAACTTCCAGACTCTCGAATGCTAAAAATATGGAAGACAATAAAACCTCGGGGTTTATTTTCTTTATGTATTTGAAATTTAGCACTCATACATGATAAATCACTTTGCTTTAGGATAATTACAAATTACATGAGCACCAGGCGCAGTAACTCACACTTATAATCCCAGCACTTTGGGAGGCCGAGGTGGCAGATCACCTGAGGTCGGGAGTTCAAGACCACCCTGACCAACATGGAGAAACCCTGTCTCTACTAAAAATACAATATTAGCTGGGTGTGGTGGCACATGCCTGTAATCCCAGCTACTTGGGAGGCTGAGGTAGGAGAATTGCTTGAACCTGAGAGGTGGAGGTTGTGGTGAGCCGAGATTTGCGCTACTGCACTCCAGACTGGGCACTGGGCAATTAGAGCAAAACTCTGTCTTAAAAAAAAATTACATAGGTAATACAATCCAAAATGAGATGAGTCTGAGTCTTTTTTAGTTTTCTTCCACATTTGACTATTAATCAAATACCTCTAAATTACAACACTGTCACAACTTCAATGTAAACCTTTTCGAAGGTTAACATTGTAAACCTATTTAGAAAATACTGATTCACTGTAACCCTCTGGAAAAACGCCAAAATGCATTAGCGATTAAACAAAAAACAGTATAAAACAGTGGTTATCAATCTTAGCACTTTGAAAGGTCAAGATCAGTGGATCGCCTGAAGTCAGGAGTTTCAGATGACCCTGGCCAAAATGATGAAACCCTGTCTCTACTAAACATACAAAAATTAGCTGGGTGTGGTGGTGGGCATCTATAATACCAGCTCCTTAAGAGGCTGAGGTTAGGAGAATCACTTGACCCAGGAGGCGGAGGTTGTAGTGAGCTGAGATCATGCACTCCAGCCTGGGTGACAGCGAGACTCCATTTCAAAAAAACAAACAAAAAAAAGACACTGGTTCTCAAAGTATGGTCTGTGGACCCCTGGGAATCTGTGAGGTCAATTTTTTTTTTTTTTTAAATAATGAAACTAAGGCTTTCTTTGCTTTTTTCACTGTGTTAACATTTGCACCTATGGTGCAAAGCAACAGTGTTATAAAACTGCAGGTACTGTGGCAGTCAATCAAGATGGGGCAACAAACTATACTAATAGAAAAAAATATCTGCACCACCACACACTTGCAGTTAAAAATAAAGGTGGGGAAGGCACATGTGAGACTATGTGAGTTGTATCCTGAACTACCTGCTTTTTTCAAGGAATACCCGTTTTACCTGAAAGAATAATTGGCAGATAAATTATAATTATTTACAATTAGGTATTTCCAAAAAAATGAACAAAGGGAATCCCTCAGTTCAACTAAAACAAATAACAAAATTTGTTGCCAACAATAAAATTTAACCTTTCAAGTTAAATCTGAATTTTAGACAACTTTTATCTGCTACTATGAGCTTGACACCTTTCCATACTTTTCTGTTGAGACTGGTGGTGATATTAATGAATGCTTTTTTTTCCACATTTTATAATGAAATGTGCATTAACATTTGGAAGATCCAAATAATTTTGTGATCCAATATTTTCCAAATGGCCAAGGCATGATAGTACAAAATCACACATGAATAAAAGGACCGCTCAAAGAACAAGACAGATCAGTGGATTATCATGTAACAGAATATAAAAAGTTTGATATGATTTTAGATTCCATACTCTAACTTTTAAGAAACGATCATTTTTATTCAGCAAAACAGACATGGATGAACCTCACAAACATACCAAGTAAAAGAACCCTTACACAAAAGACCACATAGGCTTCTTTTTATATGAAATGTCTCTAAGAGGCAAATCTACAAAGACAGAAAACAGATTAGTGGTTGCCTGGGCCTGGGGACTGGAAGAGGAAATAACTGCAAATGGGTCTGAAGGTTCTTTTGAGGGTGATAAAATATTCTAACACTGGATTGTAGTATACTAAAGACCAGTGAATTGTACATGTGAAAAGGATAAATTTGCCAGTCGGGCGCGGTGGCTCACGCCTGTAATCCCAGCACTTTGGGAGGCCGAGGCGGGTGGATCACGAGGTCAACAGATCAAGACCATCCTGGTCAACACGGTGAAACCCCATCTCTACTAAATATACAAAAAATTAGCTGGGCATGGTGACGTGTGCCTGTAATCCCAGCTACCAAGGAGGCTGAGGCAGGAGAATGGCCTGAACCCAGGAGGCAGAGGTTACAATGAGCCAAGATCGTGCCATTGTACTCCAGCCTAGGTAACAAGAGCGAAACTCCGTCTCAAAAAAAAAAAAAAAGAAAAAGATAAATTTAATGATATGTAGTTATATCTCAATAAAACTGTTGAAAAAAATGTTACTGGTCCAGTTTAAGAATAAGAGCCATAATTATCTGAAAAGGCTATTAAAACACTCCTCTCTTTTCCAACAAAGAGGACAGATTTTTCTTTCTTTTTGAGATGGAGTCTCGCTCTGTCACCCAGGCTGGAGTATGGTGGCCTGATCTCAGCTCACTGCAACCTCTGCCTCCTGGGTTCAAGTGATTCTCCTGCCTCAGCCTACCAAGTAGCTGGAATTTCAGGCAAGCACTACCACACACAGCTAATTTTTGCTTTTTTTGGAGACACTCTTGCTCTGTCACCCAGGCTGGAGTACAGTGGTGTGATCTTGGCTTACTATAACCTCTGCCTCATGGGTTCAAGCAATTCTCCTGCCTTAGCCTCCTGAGTAGCTGGGACTACAGGCACATGCCACCATACCTGGCTAATTTTTGTATTTTTAGTAGAGATGGGGTTTCACCATGTTCTTGATCTCCTGACCTCATGATCTACCCGCCTCAGCCTCCCAAATTGCTGGGATTACAGGTATGAACCACTGCGCCCAGCCTAATTTTTGTATTTTTAATAGATATAGGGTTTTACCATGTTGCCCAGAATGGTCTCAAACTGACCCTGTGATCCGCCTGCCTCAGCCTCCCAAAGTGCTGGGATTACAGGCATGAGCCACCTTGCCCAGGCTTTTTTTTTTGAGACAGGCTCTGTCACCTAGGTTAAAGGGCAGCAGTGTAATCAGGGTTCACTGCAGCCTCCATCTCCTGGGCTCAGGTGATCCTCCCACCTCAGCTTTGGTAGCTGGGATTACAGGAGAGTAACACTACATCCAACTAAATGTTTTATATTTTTGGTGGAGATGGGGTTTCACCATGTTACCCAGCTGGTCTGGAACTCCCAGGCTCAACTGATCCATCCACCTTGGCCTCCCAAAGTGCTGGGATTATAGGCATGAGCCACCACACCTGGCCAGATTTTCTTCTTATATGTTAACCAAAATGAAATATTAGAATCGGCTATAGACACAAATGAGAATCTAGCTGTCTTATGTCAGGTGAAATATTAAAAAGATTAGCAAAATGTTAAAAAAAAAAAAAAAGGCCATTCTTCACACACAAAAGTTCATATTAATTTAAAATGAGTTCATTATTTTTTAAATGAACTAATAAATATTTTTTAAATTTCTCAGTTTTTACTTCTAACGTGGTAAATATTGACAGATATAGCCCATATAAACAAAAGTTTTTAGGGGTCCTCAATAAATCTTAAGAATGTAAAGGAGTCTTGAGACTAGCAGGTTTGAGAACCACTACTATAAACATACACAGCCTTTCAAATAAATTTGTAAAAGGATCCTTAAATGTGGTCACATTATCTGTATAAAGAAAATTACAACACTTTAAACTGAGTTAGTCCAATCCCCAAAAGTCAATTAATAGTCAATTCTGCAAAAGTATCTCTAATTGTTTTGAAGCAGGTATCTGAGATTTCTTTTTAGAAGCTTACCATTTAAGCTGCGAATACACCTTATATCAAGGCTTCTTAGGCGAGAGTCATCTCTTAGATCTAAATTATCTGATATGGTTTGTATTGCCAGTCTTGCAAAGACTAGATCAATCTTTGGAAAGATTCAAAAAAAGAGAAAAAAATTACATTTTCTCCTTTTAATCCATCCTCCCCCATCCCACCACAAAAATGTGAAAAGCTCTGATTATTAGTTTGGGAAGTGCTACCAAAACTTTAATAGGCCTATTCAGGCAATCTCACATGGGAAAATCACTGTAAAGTTTTGTTAAGGTAATTAAACTTTCAAATTAATGAAAGCATTTAAAATTTAGCATATATGCCAAGCATAAAAAAAAAATCAAAGCCTTACAAGCAAATTTCTAGATAAAGATAGATCCAACACACATTTATATTCCCTCCCTCTTAAAACTTCACTAAAATACCAGGAAATTTTTATTTTATTTTTTTGTTTAATATTATTTTGATTTTAAAGGCAAAATTCACTAGGACAAAGAGCAGAAAGTGACAAAAGCAAAATCTATGAAAGCTGGAAAGCAGATGCACAAGTGGTAACAGATTGAGTAGACCTAAGAAAGTAGATAAAAACATTGTATCTAGCAAATAAAGTCAGGAAGCTGTAAATAAATACAGACATAAACAAAAAGGAACATTTAAAGAATAAAACAGTATGCTTAGAAATTAAAAATATGATGCAGAAATAAAAAGCAGAAAATTTGGAAGATGAGAAAATCCCAAAAAGCAAAACAAAAACATGAAGATGTGGTTAATAAGTGGGAAGAAAGATTTAAAAGAAAAAAAAAAAGAGAAGGAAGTTCTGAACATCCAACATACAAATTTAGGATTTTAGAAAGAAAAAAGACAGAGGGAAATCCAATAGAATTCCATAAAATTTCCAAAAACAAAGATAGGAGTTTCCATATTCAAAGATGACTATTGGGTGCCTAGCACACTGGTTGAAAAGACACATACCAAAGAGTATTATGAATTTCACAAGTGTCTCATCAATTAGGAAGACAAAAAAAAAAAAGATTGTATTAAGTTTCCAAAGAGACAAAACCAGTCATATACAAAGAATGAAGAAACAAAATGGCATCACACTTCTCAATACAGCACAGAAGCTACAAGACAATAAAGCAAGGCCTTCATAATAGTGAGAAAAGAAATTTCATACCTAGATTTATACTGAGCCAAGTTATTTAGTGTAAGAACAAAATAAAGACATTTTCACTGGACTTGATGGTTAATAGAAAAAAAAGATGGAAAAAAAAGAGACATCTTTAAACATGCAAATGCTCTTTCTCAGGAAGCTAATGGATGAGCCGCTCTAAAATAAGAGTGAATCATGAAAGAAAACTCTAGAAACAAAAGGAAATGCCAGGATGATGGGAAAGGAAGATGCCTGGGTGACAGCTGTGTACCAGTCATGGAGAACAGCTTAGACTGGAATGGGTGAGAAGACTCAGTGAGTTTTTTCTCTCAAGATGAAAATATACCTGATAAATCTAAACTTATTTAGAGGAGATTTAGACAACTCAGAAAGGCTGGGTTAGAGTTGGTCATAAGTCTAAAAAATCAAGGAACTAAACAATTATTAACTCCCAAGACAAAAAAAAAGTCACACAGCAAATAATGGTTATCTACTATACTTAAGTGTCTGGTTTTGAACACTGCTTATAAGATCATACTAATGTAAATGGGCTCATGCCTATACTTCCAGCACTCCCAGGAGGCTGAAGTGGGAGGACTGCTTGATCTCAGAAGTTTGAGACTAGCCTAGGCAATATAGTAAAACCCTGCCTCTATAAAAAATTACCAGGGTGTGGTGGTGCGTGCCTATAATCCCAGCTACCTGGGAAGCTGAGGCAGGAGGATCACTTCAAGTTAGGAAGTCCAGGCTGCAATGACAGCCTCATGACAGAGCGAGATCCTGTCGATACAAAAAACTTAAAAACTAGCTGGACATGGTGGGACACACCTGTGGTCCCAGCCACTCAGGAGGCTGAGGTAGGAGGATCAGTTGAGCCCAGGAGGTCAAGCCTATAGTGAGCTGTGTTCACACCACTGCACTCCAGCCTGGGCAACAGAGCAAGACTCAGTCTCGAAAAGAAAAGAAAGAAAAGAAAAGAAAAGAAGAAAGAAAGAAAGAATAACGTAAACACTGAACTGAATATTGCTCCAAGCAAAACTGTAATAATACAATTATTTTAGGACATTATGGGAATGAGAAGGCTGTGTATAAAAATCAGGGGGGCAGGGGAATAAGGGTTGGTTCATTTTCCATGGTGATAAGTCCACAGAAATAAGAGAAAAGGTACGGAACTATTCAAAGACTATCTGAGGCCTGTTTGTGGTGGCTCACACCTATAATCCCAGCAGTTTGGGAGGCTGAGGTGGGAGGATCCCTTGAGACCAGGAGCTCAAGACTGGCCTGGGCAACAGAGTGAGACCTTGTCTCCACAAAAAATTTAAAAATTAGCCATGGTGCATGGTATGGGCATGGTGATACATGCCTGTGGTCCCAGCTACTCAAGAGACTGAGGCAGGAAGATGGCTTGAGCCTAGGAGGGTAGGTTGTAGTAAGCCATGTAGTAAGCCCACAGCACTCCAGCCTGAACACAGCAAAACCCTGTCTCAAAAAAAAAACCCAAAAAACAAAAAGAGGATTTGAGGCCCAGGGTGGTGGCTCACACCTGTAATCCCAGCACTTTGGGAGGCTGAGAGCTTGAGACCAGACTGGGCAACATAGCGAGACCCTGCCTCTATAAAAATTTAAAAATCAGGCAGGTATGGTAGCGTGTGCGTAGAATCCTAGCCACTCAGGAGGCTCAAGTAGAAGGATCACCTGAGCCCAGGAGCTCAAGGCTGCAATGAGGTATGACTATGTCCCTACACTCCATCCTGGGCCACAGATTTAGACCCCATCTCTTTACTTAAAAAAAGAAAAAAAAAAAAAAAACCCAGATGTGGTGGCTCATGCCTATAATCCCAGCACTTTGGGAGGCTGAGGTGGGCTGATCACGAGGTCAGGAGATGGAGGCCATCCTGGCTTACACGGTGAAACCCCATCTCTACTAAAAATATAAAAAATTAGCCTGGCATGGTGGCACATGCCTGTAGTCTCAGTCTCCCAGTCTGAGGCAGGAGAATGGCTTGAACCCTGGAGGCTGAGGTTGAGGTGTGCCACTGTACTCCAGCCTGGGCGACAGAGTGAGGTTCCATTTCAAAAAAAAAAAAAAAAAAAACCACAATTTGATTTTTAGAAATATGCACTTATATTAAGCCTCATTTCAGAAAACAAACGAGTTAAACAGTTCTAACTAACAGTAAAGTCAGGAAAATACTAAACACTTACTTCAATACCATCAAATTCAAATTTTATAACAGGTACAAAGGCATCTTCTACAGCCTACAAAAAAGGAAAACAATTATAATACATAGGTGTAATCCCTTCTCTATCCTTCTTAACTACCAATAATGTGAATATCTTTGCTCCCAATTTGTATTTTAACTCAATAGACAAAGTGAAAATGTTTTTGGTCTTACATTCCAGGTAAGTATTTCTACTTTGTGACCTGTATTATGTAAGATACAGAAAATGCCTGTAATAGTATCTAATTTATTATCCTTCTAAAAATATTCCTCAGAACTGGGAAGCAAACTTGATGGTCTGTAGTCATAAAAAAGAATGAGTTCATGTCCTCTGCAGGGATGGATGAAGCTGGAAGCCATCATTCTCAGCAAACTAACACAGGAACAGAAAACAAACACTGCATGTTCTCACTCATAAGTGGGAGTTGAACAATGAGAATACATGGACACATGGAGGGAACATCACATACCAGGGCCTGTCAGGGGATAGGGGCAAGGGAAGGGAGAGCATTAGGACAAATACCTAATGCATGTCACGCTTAAAACCTGGATAATGGGCCAGGCAGGCGGGCAGATCACCTGAGGTCGGGAGTTCAAGATCAGCCTGACCAACATGGTGAATACCTGTTTCTACTAAAAATATAATACTAGATGGGCGCGGTGGTGCATGCCTGTAATCCCAGCTACTTAGGCAGCTGAGGCAGGAAAATTGCTGGAACCTGAGAGGCGGAGGATGCAGTGAGCTGAGATCGTGCCATTGCACTCCAGCCTAGGCAACAAGAGCAAAACTCGGTCTTAAAAAAACTCACCATGGCACATATGTACCTATGTAAGAAACCTGCACATCCTGCACGTGTATCCCAGAACTTAAAAATTAAAAAAACAACTTGCTATCATCTGGGTACTTAGAATTTGAGTCTAAACTGAAAACTGATTATCTAGAAAGGCTATTAGAGTTAGAAATTTTAAAATAATGAGAGCTCATGACTAATTATTAAAAATATAAGTAATATAGTTGAGATTAGTTTAGATTTAACAGAAACAATGGTTTTCGAAGTCTTCCTTAACTCCCCGACCTAACAAATTCTTAACTTCCTTGCCGAAAACATTCTCAGATTCCCCAAATACCACACATTCTTTGACCTTCACCTTATTCTAGCACTTCAGAATGCATTAACACTATTTTGTTTATTTAGTTTGCCTAACCCCCTCCTCAATAAACAGTGTCTTGTTTACTAGTGTATCTGTAAGACTAATGCCAGAATCTAAGAAATTACTGGTACTGAAATTGTATTTGCTGAATGAATGGCTAGATAGATACCTATTAAGAGTTACTAACTGAAACTTAACAGCACTCATCATTTGATATGTATCAATCATTACTGGCTATGACAGTAAATGACTTAGGTAAATTATCTCATTGATACTCAAAAAACCTTATTAAAAAGTTATTAAATCTCCATTTTAAAGACGAAGAAACAAGTTCAGAGGATTAGGTTACTTGACCAAGATCTAAGAGCTATTATGTGGCAGATTCTAGATGCAAACCCAAGTCTGTGTAACTATAAGACCCATGTTCTTATCCATCATATAATCATCACTTATTAAAGTTACTCTTATTACCTATCTCCTAATAGTAACTTAGGAGGTATTTCAATAATCTTAAGCCCTGGCTTTTATATGTATTTGTTACCAATCTATATTCAAAATATTAAATGCCAGAGGATACTTACTCTTAAGTTTCTAATGCCATCTTGATGTTTCAATTTTTCAAAAAAAGATTGAAAAAAATCAGATCTCTCCACGTGTCTTGGAGCTACACAAAGTGCATCAATGTCAGCTCCTGCAAATTAAAGTAGTTCTTAATTAAGAATATATTATTTGTTATATTTTTTGTTAAAGTACACATAAATATATGTACAGAAGAAAGTATGGAAGCAGAGTATAAGAAAACGTTAACAATAATTAGCTCTAAGTAGTGAAATACTGTTGTCCTGTATTTTCTAATTATGAACAAAAGTTTGTTACTGAATGTTCTTAACACTAGAACACAGAAAAGCAGTTACCTTTGGTGTGTACTCCAAGTCTATAGGATCCAAATGTGAAAATTTTACCACCAACAGTAGCCACAACAGAAGGTGGGAGGTTCTAAAATAAAATTAAGCAGAAGACATTCATTTATTCTGATTATTTAGCATAAAAGTCACCTCAATGTTGGCTGGGTGTTGTGGCTCCTGCCTATAATCCCAGCAATTTGGGAGGCTGAGATGGGTGGATCACCTGAGATTAGGAGTTCAAGACCAGCCTGGCCAACACATGTGGAAATCCTGTCTCTACTAAAAATACAAAAACTAGCTGGGCATGGGGTCACACAGTTGTAATCCCTGCCAGGCGTGGTGGTGGTGCCAGTGATCCCAGCTAGTCAGTATGCTGAGGCAGAAAAATCACTTGAACCTGAAAGGTGGAGGTTGCAGTGAGCAACTTTAATTACCAAATTAATGTGCTTTCAGCTCTCTAAAACATAATACTCTTGGCCAATACTCTAGTTTTTGTGAGGTTGTTTAATTTCTTGATTCTAACTCTACAAGCTTTCTGTAAGAAAGGAGTCATTCCCAACATGATCTTATGAGAGCGATTCTAACAAGCTTAATTAACATTTCTTGGATTATAATGTAATTAAAATGCTACTTTTTGGCCAAGCATGGTGGTTCATGCCTATAATCCCAGCACTCTGGGAGGCCGAGGCGAGAGGACCATTTGTGTCCAGTTCAAGACCAGCCTGGGCAACACAATGAGACCCCATCTCTACAAAAAATAAAAAGTTAGCTGGGCAGGGTGGCGTGTGCCTCTAGTCCCACCTACTCAGGAGGCTGTAGTAGGAGCCCAGGAGGCTGAGTTTCAACAAGAGACTCTGCCTCAAAGAAAAAAGCCACTTTTTGCCTCTCTTCAGAGCCAATTCCAAAAGCCTATCAGGTATTCACTCAAGTATCCCGATTCACTTCAATATCCAGCCTCAAACAAGCAAAAAAATTCTTCCAATGATAACAGTCAGATACTGCTTCTGATTTCTCTATTTTTGTTTCTCATCCTTACTACTAAACTTCTTCTTCTTGGCTTACCAATTCTTAGCTTGTATCCCTCACATGTGTGGCCTCCTTTCTATTTAACTACTCCTCCCCTAATTCTAGGCTATTAATAGCATCCTGAACTCTCCTCTAATTAATCTTCCTTTTCTCTTTCACTATCTTATATAAAATTCACTCACCGATGTTCTTAAATTACTCTATTAAATAGCTGTTCTACTCAAAAGTTGCCAATGCTGCCTTCTCTAACTACTGAGGTAAGGATCCTTGCGCCTGTTGTTGAAAGTCACATGTTCCTACGGATCTTTCTTGCCTTGTCTTATCTTCCTTTCTGAAGCTCCAACTACCAACCAACCAACCAACCAACATGCTTACAGAATCCAATCTCCTTTCCACTGCATTTGCCATTGTCCCTGCCGAAAGTGCTTGCCCATCCTCTCTGGACATCTTTTTTGTTTATCTTTTTTTAAACAGATGGAGATGGGCTCTTGCTATGTTGCCCAGGCTGAAGTGAGTATAGCAGTGTGATCTTAGCTCACTGCAGCCTCAAACTAGTGAGCACAAAGTATTCCTCCTGCCTCAGCTTCCAGAGTATCTGAGACTACAGGCACACACCACTGTGCTTGGGTAATTTTAAAATAATTTTCGTAGAGATGGGGTCATGCTTTGTTGCCCAGGCTAGTCTCAAGTTCCTGCTTTTAAGCAATCCACCTGCCTTGGCCTCCCAAAGTGCTGGGATCACAGGCATGGGCCACCATGTCCAGCCTCTGAGTATCAATATCCACTTTTGCAAGTTCACTTCAAGTTCCACCTCTTCCATGAAGCCTTCCCTGGTTATCCTTACTCCCTAACAAGGTTTTTTTCCCTGTGTTCTCTGCTATTATAATCTTTAAATTCTTTTTTGCTATATTTACTAACATTTTGGTATGTCTCATCTCTTCAATCATATTTAAATTTCTGAAAGTTAAAAACTGTGTCTGCTACTTCTCTGTATTTTCTCACAATGCCCAGTACAAGTTCTAAAGAATATCGGCTGATTAACTTGAATAAAAGTATCTATAAAATAGGATAGTATGCTTGTTAATGCCTCTGTTTAATGACTACTAATATTAAGTGTATCACAAATAATTTTACAGCTATAAAGGAGTCAGTAAATTTATGAATCAGATTTTTCTAAGAGATACAGTCTTGAATGTTGCCCAGGCTGACCTTGAACTCTTGGGCTCAAGCAGTCTTCTTGCTTCAGCCTTCTGAGTAGCTGGGACTATAGGCATGCACCACCATGCCCAGCAAACAGTAAATTTAATGATAATTAACATGAATGAAAAGGACAGAGAAGCCAGGACCTTAAAAAAATATTTTAGTTCAACTTTCTACTTTGAGAATTATAATTCTTGCATGATTTATGAGAAAGTGATATGCTGAATCAGAGTTTGCCACAGCCATAGTATTTAACTAAAATGATTTGATCTGGGTTCTATACTATTTAAAGTTTAAATATCCCAATTGTGTATAGATTCAAATGACCTTTGATTGAACCCAAATCCTTCAGTTACTTTCCAAAGTAAAATATACAAAAAGAGAATTATAGGCTGCGAGTGGTGGCTCATGCCTGTAATCCCAGGACTTTGGGAGGCCAAAGTGGGAGGATCCACTTGAACTCAGGAGTTCGAGATCACCCTGGGCAACAAAAGTAAATAGCATAAAGACCATGCTAAATTCAATGACTATAGTCTTTAGGAGACTCAACACAGAGGGACCTTGTCACTTTTAATTTAAAACCAAGAAAAAAATAAAGAGAATTATAGGCTGGGCATGGTGGTGGCTCATGCCTGTAATCTCAATACTTTGGGAAGTCAAAGCAGGAGGATCTTGAGCACAAGAGTTTGAGGCCAGCCTGGGCAACATGGCAAGACCCATCTCTAAAAAAACAAATAAACAAAATACAAAAATTAGCAGGACATCAGGATGTGTACCTGTAGTCTCTGCTATTTGGGAGGCTGGGGCAGGAGGATTGCGTGGGCCCAGGAGTTTGAGGTTATAGTGAGCCATGATTATGCATGCCATTGTACTCCAGCTTGGGAGAGTGAGACCCTGCCCCACATGAAAGAGACCATTACAATTGACACAGAAAAATTACGTAATCTGCTCAATGGAAGATGTTAACTAACTTAATTTTTTTAACATTTGTGACTAGCATTTCACCTGCTCAGAATTTGACTTATCCAACTAACCTCAACTATTGATAATCCTACTGAGTTCAGAAATGAGCCAGACAGCCTTTTGGCAACAAAAGTAAATAGCATAAAGACCATGCTAAATTCAATGACTATAGTCTTTAGGAGACTCAACTTTATTCTGAGTCCACTGTTTAGAAGAACCAATTCTACATATTTATCATAGGTACAGAAAAAAATAATGAAAGCTGTAAAAGAAAGAATTCTAGGCCAGGCATGGTGGCTCACACCTATAATCCTAGCACTTTGGGAGGCCAAGGCAGGTGATTGCTTGAGCTCAGGTGTTCAAGACCAGCCTGGGCAACATGGCAAAACCCTGTCTCTACCAAAAATTAGCCAGGTGTGGTGGTGTAGGCCTGTGGTCCCAGGTACTCAGGAGGCTGAGGTGGGAGGACTGCTGGAGCCTGGGAGGCAGAGGTTGCAGTGAGCTGAGATTGCGCCACTGCATTCCAGCCTGGATGCCATCTCCACACACACACACACACACACACACACACACACACACAAATTCTGTAGGTGTTTACCTAATTTCTAAATCCATGCAGATTAAGGGGCAGAAGGGGACTTTACAGCTAGACACACTGACAACTGTGAGATATTACCTTTTAACTGCTGTTAAGGCAAAGATGAGAAAACTATGAAAAACAAAAACCTCAAAATAAAATAGTATGGGCTACTTAGTGATGAGGCAAATGGTACCACCCAGTTGCACATTCCCTCCCTCATTTGGTATTTTTAGTAGAGCCATTGTTTCACCATGTTGGCCAGGCTCATCTCAAACTTCTGATCTCAGGTGATCTGCCTGCCTCAGCCTCTCAAAGTGCTAGGATTACAGGTGTGAGCCATTGCGCCCAGCCTAAATTTCATTACTATTATTTTTTGGAGACAGTCTTGTTCTCCCAAAACATTTTGGTACAGCCAGTAAAATAATCTTCACAGTGGTGATTCTCAGACAATAAAATTCAGTTGTGAGGCTGGGCACAGTGGCTCATGCCTGTAATCCCAGCACTTTGGGAGGCTGAAGAGGATGGATCACTTGACGTCAGGAGTTCGAGACAAGCCTGGCCAAGACGGTGAAACTCTGTCTCTACTAAAAATACAAAAGTTAGCCAGCCGTGGTGGCAGGTGCCTATAATCCCAGCTACTCGGGAGGCTGAGGCAAGAGAATCACTTGAACCTGGAGGCGGAGGTTGCTGTGAGCTGAGATTATGCAACTGCACTGCAGCCTGGGCAACAGAGTAAGACCCTGTCTCAAATGAAAACAAAAACAAGGCCGGTACGGTTGCTCACCTGTAATCCCAGTACTTTGGGAGGCTGAGGCAGGTGGATCACCTGAGTTCAGGAGTTTGAGACCAGCCTGACCAATATGATGAAACCTGCCTGACCAATATGATGAAACCCCATCTCCACTAAAAATACAAAAATTAGCCAGGCATGGGGGCATGTGCCTGTAATCCCAGCTACTCAGGAGGCTGAGGCAGGAGAATCACTTGAACCCAGGAGTTGGAGGTTGCAATGAGTCAGGATCTCACCACTGCACTCCAGCCTGGGCTACACAGCAAGACTCTCTCAAAACAAAAACAATTATATTCAAAATATTGCTGGCCTTCCATATCTGCAGGTTTCACATCTGCAGATTCAACCAATCGTGCACAGATAAAAAATATTGGCCAGGTGTGGTGGCTCACGCCTATAATCCCAGCACTTTGGGAGGCCGAGGCGGGTGGATCACGAGGTCAAGAGATCAAGACCATCCTGGTCAACAAGGTGAAACCCCGTCTCTACTAAAAATACAAAAATTAGCTGGGCATGGTGGTGCGCGCCTGTAGTCCCAGCTACTCGGGAGGCTGAGGCAGGAGAATTGCTTGAACCCAGAAGATGGAGGTTGCGGTGAGCCGAGATCACACCATTGCACTCCAGTCTGGGTAACAACAGCGAAACTCTGTCTCAAAAAAAAAAAAAAAAAAAAAATTGTGGGGGAAAAAACATAAAAAATAAAGCCAATTTTAGGCAAGGCACAGTGGCTCATGCCTGTAATCCCAGCACTTTGAGAGGCTGAGGTGGGGAGGATCACTTGAGCCCAGGAGTTTGAGGCTGCAGTGAGCTATAATTGTGCCAGTGTACTGCAGCCTGGGTGACAGAGGGAGATCCTATCTATTAAAAAAATAAATAAAATTTATGGCTGTTGTGATGACTCACGCCTGTAATCCCAGCACTTTGGGAAGCTGAGGGGAGATTGTGCCACTGCACTCCAGCCTGGGGACAGAATGAGCCTGTCTTCAGAAAAATAAATAAATAAATAAAATTTAGGCTGGGCACTGTGGCTCACACCTGTAATCCCAGCACTTTGAGAAGCTGAGGCAGGCAGATCACCTAAGATCAGGAGTTTGAGACCAGCCTGGCCAACAAGGTGAAACCACGTCTCTACTAAAAATACAAAAATTAGCTGGGTGTGGTACTACACACATGTAGTTCCAGCTACTCAGGAGGCTGAGGCAAGAGAATCACTTGAACCTGGAGGAGGTTGCAGTGAGCCAAGATTATGCAACTGCACTCCAGCCTAGGTGACAGAGCAAGATTCTGTCTCAAAAAAAAAAAAAAAAAAAAAATTAAACATGCTAATTAAAAAAAAATTACAGTGACAACTATTTACATAGCATTAACATTGTGTTAGATATTATAAGTAATCTAGAAATGACTGAAAGTGTGTAGAAGGATATGAAAAGGTAACAAGCAAATATGTATTATTTCATATGTGAGCTGAGATTGTGTTCACTTATATTATTATATTATTTTATATAAGGAACTTGAGCATCCACAAAGGTCCTAGAAATAATCCCCCAGAGGTCCTAGAAATAATACCCCAGAGAATACCAAGGGAGGACTGTACTACACAAAGCAGCAAAATGTAATCAGTTTCAGGGGAAAAATAGTTAAGCTACAGGAGGAAAAAAAAAGTTGTGTAGTTATAAATTAGCTTGCAAATTCCTATGTCTTAGAACCAAGGGAGTAGGCAAATAAGGGAATCTCAAATGAGAAACATAGTAACTGCTCAATTAATCACCTTGCAAAGAAAACAGGAAGTGGTGAGGGTTTATGAGGCAATGGAAGACAGGAGCCCAATCCCATTCAAGCCTCTTCCTGCTGTGCACAAACGCAGGCCCAGCATTGCCAGGTCTAATACTTTATAAAACGGCTGAACTGTGACTTTTAAGTAAAATCTGATATTTAAATTTTGCCTACTACAAATGAGTTAAACAAGACAATTATGTGGACTCAAATCTATATACTGGCTACTTCTGGGTAAATCCTCAACTACTTAGAAATCCAACCGTCTAGACCAATTCATTCCCACTTATACCAGAGAGCCAAGTTTTGATGTATTGCAGATAGTTCTCAACACCTGCATCTTATTGCCAGGATGAGTGACTGGGATATAATAAAAATAAGAATTCCACATAATTTATAGTTTTACCTTACTCTCGCTGACATCAGAAATCCATTCTTTTACTAAATTGTTCAATTTACCAAGAACCACCAGCCTATAAAAAAAAAAAGCTTCAGATTAAAACAAACAAATGAATAATTAGTATTTTTAAAAACCCATATAAGCAGTACCCTTTGTGTCGATACTAGGGTAAAACCATAATATACATGTGATAATGCTATCACATCTATTGACACAGGACACATCTCTTTGGCATTCTTAGATCCTTAAGAGTGCTAAAGAGATGATAAATTTGATTGCAGTATTTTAGTTTTTGAGCTAATTGTCAAAATTCAAAAAGCTTAATAAAAACAATAAAATTACCTTCAATGAGTCTGCAAAGGCATAGTGAATTGTCAACTTTCTTGGCTTTACTATGGAATTAATTCAATTCAATGTGGTACTAGAAACAAGAATTATTTCATTGCTACTAATAGGTCTTGGGATAATTAAAATAGGTGAATTAATTACTGTCTAATTTCTGTCTAATAGTATTAAAGCAGTTTGGTATTATTAAAACACATTTATAACCAGTAGCATAAACGAATCCACATTTAGAAAAGTGGGGTTTAGACATCTCAAAGATAACATACAAAACAGAACTTCTGATCTGTCCAAACTTACTTCTTCCTCAGTCTTCCACAAATAATTAAACTCTATCCTTCAAGGTGCCAAGACCAAAAACCTTGGTCATTATCCTTGACCCCTCTCTATCACACACATTCCAGTCATTAAACTCTAAGAACCCTACCTTTAAAATATTTCCAGAATTCTACTTTTTATTACCTCTACAACCATCCTCCAGGTTCTAGCCACCATCATTTCTTCCTGGGGCTATTACAATGGCTTACTAACTGGTTTCTCTGCTCTGCCCTTGCACTTCTCTTAAGATGACTCTCAATACAGCAGCCAGAGTGACTGTTAAAACTTAAGTCCAATCACGTCAATCTTCTCAAAACCCTAATAGCTTCTCATTTCACTCAGAATAAACCAACCCTTGACAACACCTTACAAGGTCCTAAGAGCTCTTGCCCTCCAAGCTCTTTCCCACCTCAGTTTCTTTAAGCCTATTATTTTCCTGCTTCCTCACTGCTTCAGACAACCAGGTATCATGCTATGTACTCTTCAAACACACCAGGTACACTCCCACTTCAAGAGTTCTGCCTAGAACACTTTTCCCTCAAATAGACACGTGGCTCCCACCTTCATCTTTAAATTTTCCCTTAAATGTAACTTTCTCAATGAGGCCTTCCTTTCCTGAAACCTCTACACACTCAGCTTTATTTTTCTCAGTAGCACTTACGTATATTACACATAAGTGTAATACTGATAATATTAATGACAAATCTCTTTCTCTAACCCCTACCTAAAATGTAAGCTCCAAGAAGGCCAAGATTTTTCTTTTTGTCATTTCTGCACTAGTATGTAGAGACTAGTAGGTACTCAATATGTTCGCAGAATTCATGATTAAATATTGCACAGTCAGATATTTTATAGTTTTCAGTAACATACCTGTGGTTCAATTCTTCCTCATCTTCAAACACTCCAAATGGTTTCATGGCATCAATTAATTTCTGTGTGTAAATATGATCAATTTCTTTAGGACATGCCAAACTAATTGGAGAGGTAATTCCATAATGCTTTTGTTGACGCTGGCTGTCCAGCACGGTGTTTCTGTTCAAGAAAACAAGAAAAATGAAACAGCAGAAAAAAATTTAAAGTATATACCATACAGATACACTGAATCTCTCAATCTACTCATGTTAATTTAGCTGCTTTAATAAAAGTTTACCTAGTACTAACAGTTGGGGTAGACTTTTTTTTTTTTTTAAGGAAAAATGGGTATTTTATGTTTATGTTTATAAAGGGGCTATTCATACTGCCTGCAGCTTTCATGGTTAGGACGTCTTTTCAGGCCAAACGCAGCATGTATTCTCATCAGGAAAACTGTACCAATACCACTCAGGCTCAAACCTAGAGTCTCATTGGGATCTGTGCCAGGGTCACCTCCACTACCCTGCAGACTTAAGTACCATCCAGATCTAGAATCTCTGAAATGCAGTCAACCAGTTGAAAGAAAGCTCTTAGTAAAAACAATGGGATTTTACCCCCAGGAAAGAAACAAAAACATCCTATTAGAAGGTCCTTGTGAAATAATCTGGCTCTTACAAAGAAATCATAATTAGATTTGTCCTTGGGAAACCTACATTAACATTCTCTGCTTGAATCAGAGTTTACAGTCCTAGTATTTTGTGACTGTAATTAATTGTTATCTTCATTTTAGACTGGTACCCACGCCATTTTCACATTGAAATAAAATTCTTTACACTAATGGCAATATTTTGGAAGGTTTGAGCTACCCTCCAAAGATCTTAGTCATCAGGAAACTACAGTCTTGAATAAAGTACAACAGAAGTTCTGATATTTTTTTTTTTTTTTTGAGATGGAGTCTCTCTCTGTTTCTTGGCTCACTGCAACCTCGAACTCCCAGGGTCAAGCAATTCTCCTGCCTCAGCCTCCCAAGTAGCTGGGATTACAGGCGTGTACCACCACATCCAGCTCATTTTGGTATTTTTAGTAGAGACAGAGTCTTGCCATGTTGGCCATGCTGGTCTGGGATTCCTGACCTCAGGTGATCTGCCTGCCTCAGCCTCCCACAGTGCTGAGATTACAGGCGTGGGCCACTACACTCAGCCAGTTGAAGTTCTGAGATTTTGAGTTTACACAAACTAATTTCAAAATAAATTTTGGAACCAACAGGGGTTGGCAAAGCTTCTAATTTTGCTATGAAAGTAAAAACATACACACTAAACAATCAACACTACCATTTATCTTCACCATGCTTTCATAAAGAGCCATTAACACTAAAAGTAAGAAAGTAATCTCAAAATTAGAAACAATTTTTTAAGTTGAATAAATTAGCCCTGTAAAAAATAACATACAAGTCAGGCGCCATGGCTCACACCTGTAATCCCAGCACTTCAGGAGGCTGAGGCAGGTGGATCACCTGAGGTCAGTTCAAGACCAGCCCCCGTCTCTCCTAAAAAAATAACAAAATTAGCTGTGGTGGCACATGCCTGTAATCCCAACTACTCGGGAGGCTGAGGCAGTAGAGTGGCTTGAACCCAGGAAGGAGGTGGGGGTTGCAGTGAGCTGAGATCGCACCACTGCACTCCAGCATAGGCAACGAGAGGGAAACTCAGTCTCAAATAAAAAACAAACAAACAAAATAAAATAGAGATCGTTTGTTTTTGAATTTTAACTGGTCAAAACACTGGCTTATCACTACTAAGTACACAGAGTAAGAAATGCTCTTTAGCTAAAGATCTCATTAAGTAGAGAGAGAGAAAGAATCAAATGTTAGATAAAATAGCCTGTATACCTTCCAAATGACTCAAAAACAAACAAACAACACACACACACACAAAACCCAAAATACATTATTTTAATTTCTCTTCCATATTTATTTTGTTGTAGAACAAACAAAATTAGTTATTTCAAGTTGTAATTTCTTTCTAAAGATTTGACTTTTTACCTCTGAGAAAGCTAGAGCAGTGTTTTGGTACTGTTTGTGTTCCATATATGTAAATATATTGGTAAATGAATAGGACAGAGTAATTATCTACATATCTATATAATATCACTCAATCTCAATAATTCTAAGAGGCATTAAATAAGTGCCATTTTACAGATAAGGATCTGAAATTCAAAGAGAGGACAAGCCAGAATCTGAACTCCAAAACCTCTTTCCACTACTCCATTCTCTTCTCCATAACTACACCTCAGTTCTGACACTATGATGCCGGGTCTCACTTTCTTACCTGTACACTGACAAAGTTGGCCAACTAGCCTACTGGTCCTAAGATTCCAAATCTAGGGTTCTGAACTTCCCTCATCTGAGGTGGGGGGAGGGAGTAAACAGCAGAATCCCACCTTCCCTTCAAACCATCTATTTCATTTATAGGCAAACACCCTAGAGAAATTCTAGTTACAAGCACACAAAGAGACATGTAAAATAATGTTCTCTGTCACACTGTAACATTAAAAACTCAGAAACAACCTAAAATGGTCACTAACAGGTAAAGGATTAAATTAGGGTGTATTCCTACAATAGAATACAATATTAATGTTAATTACAACTGAAATACTAACATGAACAAAGCTCAGAGATACTATGCTGTGCTAAAGAAGCAAGTTGCAGAATGACAAGTGTTGATACCAGTTATGTAAAATTTAAAAACTACTAGAGCTATGCCAGTTATTAGGAACACATGTGTATGTAGTAATAATAGCGTTAAAAAACATGCAGCTCCCATGATTTGAGGGCTAAAAAAAGTAGTAAAATAAAAAACACGACGCAACAGTAAACATCAAATTCAAGAGTGTGGTGACATTTGGAGCAAGAGATGAATGGGACCAGACAAGGAGGTAGGAAAGTCCTTCAGATGCATCTGTGATTTCTTTAAAATAAACATATAGATATGTATACACACACCGTGTGTGTGTGTACAGTTACGATTTGGGAGAAATGGGTGGTGGTTCCACAAATGATGCTTATGTTATTCTCTGAATTTTTCTGCATGTTTAAATTATTTCCTAATAGACCAAAACGGAAGAAGCTACAACAAAATCTTGCCAAGCATAGGAACTGTCTCTGACTTATCAAAGTGTGAACAAGAGGTACAGACCGGTGGACGTTGTGGGTAGGTGGGGAGGCAGGGGGTGAGGGAGAGGGTGGCGACGGCGGTGAAAAGACTTTAGCCTTATATGAAAGAGAAACTCAAGGGCTGCGATAGGTCTTTCACTCCTGAAGACCTGGAGACAGGCGGTCGGGAAGGGAGGAGGGGGAGGCAGGGGGATGGTATTTGCGCCAATGCAGACAGGAGCAGACGGGCTCACACAGTGTTGGAGGCAGACGAGTGACCGACAATTTCTCCTTACCGACACAGGCACCTTTTCCCCTTCTCATCCTTGTCTGAGGGCGTCCTCAGAGGCGGGACAGATGGGGACTCCCGGAGTCCCCGAGTCCATGAGGGGTGGCCAGGTGAGCCGCCGGTTTTAGGGGAGGTGCCCCTGCGGACCGGCCGGGAGCCGGGAAGGAGACCACCCCGGTGAGCTGCGTGCAGGGTGAAAGGGGCAGGGAACGGAAACGAGGACACAGACTGACCACCCCAGTTCACCCCTACCCGCCTCACCCCAACCGCCGCCCCCCACCACTTACGCAGACATCTCTTTCATCGCTTCCTGCGTCTCCCTCTCCAGCGAGTGTCTTTCGCTCTGGAGTCCTGTTCTTGCTCTTCCCTTCTCCCCCTGTTTAGTTCCCTCCGGTCGCTTGTAGCTCGCTTGCTCGTTCACTTTCCCACTTACTATGGCTGAGGCATCCAACCGAGTAGTGAAAACACCACAAAACCGGCTCTATTTATGACAATACAGCGCGGCCGACGCCAATATGGCGCCGCTTCCCAGCCTGCCTCTCGCCGCCGTGGTCCCGCCCCTGGAGATCTGGACCACCCTCGGCCACGCCTCCTTCGCTTCGGTCCCGGGACCCCGCCCGCAGGCTCAGGGGTCTCTCAGTACCGTTGCTTCGAAGGAGCGTTTGGTGCCCTCTTTTGTCCGTAGTACTGTCAATCCCGGTATACAGCTTGGAAGGAAATTGGGAAATATGTTTTCCTTGCTTCTCGAATGGCAGCGTATATCATACATGTTTTAAAAGATCACACCCTTGCCTAGCAAATACTATTTCAACGCTTCCATTATCTTACATCCTTGATTTAATTATAGTTATAGGTAATTAACTCACCAGTTGAGATTTTGTCTCGAAAGGTCACACTTAGGTACGTGCGACTTAAACACAAGTATCCCAGGGGAAAACAAGCTTGTAAATCGGAGGCTTAACTGTTCACTTCACCCCTAAGTACCACCCTTGATTAGTGACAAGGGCATTTAGCTGAGAGAGGTTGAAAAAAAAAAAAAAAAAAAAAGAAAATAATAGCTAGCAGTTTGCAATAGGATAAATCCCAGACTGAAACAAAATCTTAGACTTTTAAACAGTGGCGATCAGTTTCGATGGAAATGTGGGGATGAAAATGGGAAAATAATGACCAATTTTAAAATGCACCACTGCACTTCAGCCAGAGTGACGGAAGGAGACCTTGTCTCCCCCCCCAAAAAAAAGACTCTACAAAAAAAATATTTTTGAAAACTTGGGTAAGATGTGCTGGCTCTTGCCTGTAATCCCAACACTTTGGAGGCCAAGGCTGGTGGATCACTTGAGGCCAGGAGTTCTATCAGGACTAGCCTGGCCAACATGGCAAAAACCCATCTCTATTTAAAAAGCAACAACAAGGGCCAGGCACGGTAGCTGATGCCTGTAATCCCAGAACTTTGGGAAGGCAAAGTGGATGGATCATGAGGTCAAGAGATTGAGACCATCCTGGCCAATGTGGTGAAACCCTGTCTCTACTAAAAATACAAATATTAGCTGGGCGTAGTGACATATGCCTGTAGTCCCAGCTACTCGGAAGGCTGAGGCAGGAGAATCGTTTGAACCTGGGAGGCAGAGGTTACAGTGAGCCGAGATCACACCACTGCACTCCAGCCTGGGCAATGGAGCAAGACCCTGTCTCAAAAAAACAAAAAGCAATACACAAACAAAAAAACCCCTAATCTACGTCAAGCCCTGTGTTAGGCTCCAGTGATTTAATGGTGCATAAAACCAGATGTATTCTTTGATTCTATAAAGTTCATTCACAGTTTAGGGGGGAAATAGTCATATAGAAATATAAGTGATACAGATGGCATCAAAGTATTAAGGGAGGCCTAAAGAGGGCCATTTAAACTTGGTCGTGGGGGCCCTCAATAGTGGCTTCTTAGAATAGAGGATTCTGTCTAAATTGGCAATATTTGAGCAGAGAGATTGAGTGCAAGTGGTGGGGAGAAGTCAAAACCTATTCTAGACAGCATACAGCAGTAGCTGGTATGGGCTTCAGTGAAAGGTAGACACAAATTTGTGTTCTAGCTTTGCTACTTTTTACTTTTGTCACTTCAGAACAATGAACTTAGGGTTGTAAGAGAATCAGATGAGAAGGGTATATATAGACAATATGAATCTCAGTCCAAAATTTCAGACATGCAAGAAATAACACTGTATTTTTAAATTTTTTTTTATTTTTGGAGATGGAGATTCACTCTTGTCCCTGCCCCCCCCCCCATCCCCCACTGGCCCCTGGGCTGAAGTACAACCTCCACCTTTCAGGTTCAAGCATTCTCCTGCCTCAGCTTCCTGAGTAGCTGGAATTACAGGCATGTAACACCATGCCTGGCTAATTTTTGTATTTTTAGTAGAGATGGGGTTTCACTATGTTGGTCAGGCTGGTCTCAAACTCCTGACTTCAAGTTATCCAGCTGCCTCAGCCTCCCAAAGTGCTGGGATTACAGGCATGAGTCTCAACATCCGGCAACACTGTATTTTTCACAAACATAATTTTTAACTCTGATCCCCTCATTCTTCTGAGTTAGCAGATAAAGACAGTCTTGGTTATCCTTCACCCCTGCCTCCCATTCTTGGGATGGTGTCACGGTACTGAAGGAGTAGGGCAGAGTGTGCATGTCTGTTCCTGGCCACCTTCCTGTTTTCTTAGCATCTGGGCGGTGAGGTTCTCTGCTGTGTCCAGGCTGTGTCTGGGGCTCATGGTAGGGGCCTGTGGTCTTGGCCCAGATGCACCACAGAGCTAGTTCTTCCCACATCCCCCCTACAGCTTGGAGAATCTTGTCAGTCTGGAAGACAGAAAGCTCCTTTCCTCAAAGGTTTCCAACCAAGACGTTTGTTGTTAACTGTGGAGTTCTATCCAGGACTTAGCCTTGTTTCAAAAACAAACGCCAAAAAGACTTGCCAGCCAATTCTACTATCTGCACAGTGTGGAGTACTTAGCATAGTGCCAGGCACGTAAGGGCTCAAAAATTTTAACTCTTATTTACACTAATTACCATAACTTATCTCTTTCTCTCTTTCTCGCTCTCTTTTTTGGGGATGGAGTCTTGTTTTGTCCCCTAGGCTGGAGTACACTGGCGCGATCTCAGCTCATTGCAACCTCCACCTCCTGGGTTCAAACGATTTTCCTGCTTCAGCCTCCCAAGTAGCTGCGACTACAGGAGTGTGTCACCATGCCTGGATAATTTTTGTATTTTTAGGAGAGATGGGGTTTCACCATGTTGGCCAGGCTGGTCTCAAACTCCTGACCTCGGGTGATCTGCCTACTTTGGCATCCCAAAATGCTAGGATAACAGGTGTGAGGCAATGTGCCTGGCCTTTTTTCCTCTTTTTATATTTATTTTTTAAATATTTATTTTCCTTCCTTCCTTTCTTTTATTTTACCTGTATAGAATGCTTTGCTATTATCTGCTGCAATAATTTGGAAGAAAGGTAAACTCTGCTATTTTACTAGTTCAGTGAAATCTTAAAGTGTTTCAAAAATAGCTATGAACCTGTATCTAATTATCAAAGTCAGATCTGAACAATATGGTTTTATTCCCCTTTATTTTATTTGTAATTTGGTAGGTTTTAGTTTTAGTTTTTTTGGAGACGGAGTCTTGCTCTTGTCCCCCATCTTGCTCTTGTCCCCCAGACTGGAGTGCAGTGGCATGATCTTGGTTCACTGCAACCTCTGTCTCTCAGGTTCAAGGGATTCTCCTGCCTCAGCCTCCCAAGCAGCTGGGACTACAGGTGCATACTGCCACGCCCGGCTAATTTTTGTATCTTTAGTAGAGACGGGGTTTCACCACGTGGGCCAGGCTGGTCTCCAACTCCTGACATCAGGTGATCAGCCTGTCTTGGCCTCCCAAAGTGCTGGCATTACAGGTGTGAGTCACCACGCCCAGCCAAGTAATGTTTTCATTAATTGCTTTTCTTCCCATTTTCCTGTGCTTGTTAATCTACCTGGCATTTAATGACAGTCCCCAACCCCCATCTCAATAAGGATACTTTATTTTCCCCAACTCCAATTTCTTTTTTTTTTTTTCCCTGAGACGGAGTCTTGCTCCATTGCCCAGGCTGGAGTGCAGTGGCAAGATCTCGGCTCACTGCAACCTTCACCTCCTGGGTTCAAGCAATTCTCCTCTCTCAGTCTCCCATGTAGCTGGGACTACAGGCATGTGCCACCACGCCTAGCTAATTTTTGTATTTTTAGTAGAGATGAGTTTCACCTTGTTGGTCAGGCTGGTTTCTAATTCCTGACCTCAGGTGATCTACCCACTTCGGCCTCCCAGAGTGCTGGAATTACAGGCGTGAGCCACTGCGCCCGGCCAACCCCAATTTCAATAAGGACATTTTTCTTATTCACAGAGTACATTGTAACTCTATTTGTTAAGTTAAAAATTTTCAAATCACAAAACTAACTCACACTCATAAAAAAAAGAGTAGATGTCTGTCCCTCTTTTCCTTCTCTTACTCCAGTTTTATTTCCCAGGAGAACTGCTTGAACTCGGGACATGGAGGTTACAATGAACCATGATCATTGAGGCGTGTGGATCACTTGAGGCCAGGAGTTCCAGACCAGCCTGGCCAACAGGGTGAAACCTGGTCTCTACTAAAGATACAAAAATTAATTGGTCGTGGTTGTGCACATTTGTAATCCCAGCCACTCAGGAGGCTGAGGCACAAGAATTGCTTGAACCCAGGATGTGGAGGTTGCAGTGAGCCACTACACTCCAGCCTGGGTGACAGAGGGAGACTCTTTCTCAAAAACAAAAACAAAAAACCCGCTCTTTAATTTGTCTGGGTGTGGTGGCTTATACTTGCAATACCAGTACTTTAGGAGGCTGAGGTTGGTGGATCCCTTAAACCCAGGAGTTGAGACCAGCCTGGGCAACAGTGAGACCCCATCTCTATTTAAAAAAAAATTTTTTATGCTTATGAAAACTATAAATGTACAGAAAAAGTAGAGAGAATAGTATAATAAACACCATATACCTGTCATGTAGAATTTTTTTTAGTATTTTGTCATGTTTCACATATTTTTTGTTGAAGTCAAAAGACTTCACGTAAACACATATAATTTCACTCTTATATTTTTTGATATGCATAACTAATGAAAACACTTTTCTATACAACCATAACATTAACACACTCAAGTTTTTTCACTTGTTGCCCAAATATCTTTTGCACCAAGTTTGTTTACAGTGTGATCCAATCAAGAAGTATGATTGTGTTTGGTTGTTGGGTTTCTGAAATGGCTTTTTTTTCCTTAAAAAATTTTATTTTTTTATTAGCTGGGTGTGGAGGCGGTTGCCTTTAATCTCAGCTGCTCAGGAGGCTGAGGCAGGAGAATTGCTTGAACCTGGGAGGTGGAGGTTTCAGTGAACCAAGATTGTACCACTGCACTCCAGCCTGGGTGACAGAGCAAGACTCTATCAAAAAATAAAAAAAGCCTTTATTTTTAAAGAGCAGTTTTAGGTTCATAGCAAAATTTAGAAAAAAAAATA